GTTTCGTCCGCGGGGTGGAGCAGTAGCATGCGCCGGTGCGGTGGCAGTCGCAGGGGTTGAGGAGGTTTTCGACTGCGCACAAGGGGATTAGGACTGCAAGGAAGGGGGGGGGGGGGAAGGGACGTACTGCGCGCTAGGGTAGGGTAGGGTGCGGGGATGGAATGCGAGTTGAGGATGTCGGCTACACCGTTCGGGTACATCGATACTTCACCGTCTCGTACTATCATGGCAAAGAACAATTAAACCCAAGAGGAATAAGCAGGAATGGAATATGCGCGCACCCCGTTGTCCATCCGGGATATCCTCCAAACTCGCACAATCGCACCTGACATGGACCTGCCTCGTCTTCCTCAACCGTCGACAATGCTCACACTGTGTCTGTGGCCTTCCCTTTCGTTTTATCTCGAATAATGGACGGTCTGTGTGTCCGCATGTGGATGATCTGTGACCTTTGATGCATGTTGCGCTGTGTTGTGTGAGTGTGAGTGGGTGTAAGATGGGATGTGCTAACCAAGCGTATTTCTTGTTGTTTACGAATACCTGTAAGAAGTGAGTAATAGATTATGAATAGGTAGAGATGGGTACCATATTGGTTGCGGGTGAGGTGCTGTGAGTAGGATGTCAAGAATGGCTCTATATATACACAAGTCGAGGAGAAATGGAACACGTGAGAAGAGAGAGGGTTGATAGACCAGGGACATTACATTACATTGCACCCTTACTTCAATCTGATCCCGTCACATCAGCATTCTCATCACATGTCAACCAAACACTCTCTACAATCTCTACCATCTCATACTTCTCACTCTTCTCATCCACACTCTCACCTTCCCTCCCTCGCATTCTCTTCCTCAACTTCTTACCATCACCGCCGATCTCAACTCAGCACTGCTGACATCCTCTCACTTCTCTATAAACACTTCACCGCCGACCTCCGACCCCACACTCCCTCTTCCTCTTCTGACACCACACCCACATCCAGGTGCATCAATGCAGGCAATCCGATCCGAGGCTAATCCCCCTTCCCTCTCTCTCTTGGCACACCCGCTGGCACGTCCTCACTGGTCTAACCCCCACCTCTAATCTGGGCAATCTAAATCTGAGAAATCTGGAATCCGGAACCTCGAACCTGGAACCTCGAGAGCGTCTAATAACGGATCTGGAACCTCCTCGCCTCCCTGGGAAAAAACGAGGCTTTCTCGGCCAGACCGGGAGCACCGCCTTGGACAACATTCCGTGCTTCTCTCTAGGAACACGACCAACGGTACCCAAGGGGCATGCTTTCAATCTGAGGAATATAGAATCCAACGGATCCGACATCTGGCCACCCCCTAGGAAATCGGGTAACACCTTTTCGGCTCGACCAGATAGCCGCCCTAGGCTGACTGCACCGGTTCTCAAACCCCCCATCCCAGGAACACGACCACCCGGCACGCACGGGACCGGCTCTCGCTTTCAAACTGAGAGATCTGGAACCTGAAATCCAACAAATCTGGAATCTGGTCGCCCTCCCTGGGAAAAAAGGGAGGCTAACTCCGCCGGACCGGGACTACCTACTTGGGCAGTTGGCAGCGTTCGGTGTGGTTTACTCGGTCTGGCTCGAATGGCCGGGATTCCCACCTTGGGCAGTGGTCCAGTCCCAATCTTCGTTCGAGTGCGAGTTCAAGCTCAAGTTCTTGCGACCCCCACACTACTGTAACCATATGCTCGGGGCACTCAGATCCCACAATCTCAAACCCCCAAACGTAAACACAGTCCCGGAAAAACGAATACTTCACCTCACCCGCGCATGCTCCACGAAGTCAACCAATCCGGCACCAGGCAAGCCTAAACAGTCCTATCCCCCACGCTGGCACCGCCTGTCCCAATCCTCCCAATCCCATCCCAGCCGGATTCCACCTTCTAGCAGCATCACGAGCTCTCTAGCGTCCTCCCCAGAGGTGTCGTATCGCACTGGGTTAGGGCTGGGCTTCCCGTCTTGCTCACGTCTTCTACGTCTTCGGTCGCCTGACTGAGACTTCTGCCTGGGTGTATGGACTTCGTTGTGCGATCGCGATTGGACGATGCTCGATTTCGCGTTTGTACTACGGCATTCGTCCGTGCGACCCGAGTCTTGCTCGATTTCAGCTTAGCACCGCGGCATTCTTCAACATACACCTTGCACCTCGCACCTCGCACTTCGCACCTTGGGCGATGCTCGACTTCATATGCACACCACGGCATTCTTCTAAGACTAGATTCTTCAACCCGCTTCTTCGACCACACGGCCGCGCTGTCGCATCATCATCCCCATCCCCAGCATCATCAGCGCAGCATCTGAAACCCCTATCTCCCACCCACTCCCACTCCCACGAACACGCTCACCCTCCCATGCTCACCCTCCCCCTTCGCACGAACACGGAAGACGAACACGGCCAACCCGGCACCCCTGAGCCCTCGGCGACCGACGCTTCGCCCGATAACAGATTGGGCTGTTTTCTCACCCGTTGTTTTTTTCACCTGCTTGGTCAGGCTCGTCCGTCCGTCCGTCTGTCGGGGTGTTCTGAACCCTAACAAACGGAGGATAAGAACCTTTTCCTTTCCCCAGCGCACGCGCACGCTAGTCGCCAGTTGGTGCCTGGTGCCTATCTACTGCGCGTGCTCATGCTGTTACTCTTCAGCAGTGATAGTCTACGTTCACAAGAAGCTTGCAAGATCTTGCACTACGTGCTTATTCGGTTCCAAGTACGATCCACATGATCCACCCCTCCCCTTCCCTCGTAAGCCGATCCCGGCCCTGACGAGCGTGAGATCGTCCCTGTCATCCTCCGATCGCTGTCCCTTCCCTGACCTTCCCGACTGTTCAGCTTCTCCAGCTAGCAGCTAGCAGATCCTGCCTACCTGCCGAGGTTCTCGCTATTCACTACAACCGCGACGTGTTTGCCAGGTGTATCCTATGCTGCATACAATCCTGCTGGTCAAGAGGCGCTAGACACACCAACTCTACGTTGCAATCAGCGTGAAAAGAAGCACCCCAGTCCTTGTTAGAGGAACATCCTTCTTCTGCATAATCAGATTCCCCACCATGGACCATCTCCTCCTTCTCCCCATCTCCCCGATCTTCGCTTCTCCTCCTCCTGCTCCCTCCCAAATCTTTCACTCCTTCCCCCCTGCCAAAGTCTGGATCGGGCCCCCGAGGCTTGAGCACTGCGACATACCGCCTATGGCAAGGGTTCTTCTCTTTGCTAAGCGGCACCGCGCCGCCTGGCAGAGTTTTGTGCGTCATACGATCATGACGCCTGCGCCCTGCGCCCTGTGCCCTGTGCCCTGCGCCCTGTGTTCTGTGCTGGACTGGCAACGGCGTGCTCTGGTGGAGGTTACTCAGTGACTCTTCTCCCTCATGAGATGTAGTACTATACAGTAGGTATGCTATCCTCCTTCTCTCTTCTCTTCCGTGCGCATGACAGCACGCGCCATCGCGCAAGATCAGTCAACCTCAGCACGTTAACTCACAACTCACAATCCACCTCAAGCTTCTACAACGGCACACCCAGCCCTGCCGAGAAAGTCACAAGCGCCAACATCTACCCCCGGGGAGGAACAGATCGACCACATGCGAGGGTTACGACATCGGAGCACTCTGCTCTTCCTGCGTTGATCACCAGACACTCGGAAGGGTTCCAGTCCAAACCGCGCGGTCCCGCTAACGATACGACCACGCACCACTGCCATGCATACTGTACCATGCCATACCAGAGGCGTCAATCTCGCCCATCATCTACCTCTCCCATACCGCCCTGCTCTTCCTCGCTCCCTCCAACATTTCCCCATCTTCTACATCTCTCCAGGAAGGCCGAGGACGGGCCCTGAAGCGTGAGCCCGTCATTCCCTTCCAGGCAGGTTTGACGCCCGGGAACGTAATCGCACGTAACAGCTTCTCTCCTACGTAAACCCCAAAGGCGGGAGAACCGGCCAACCACGCTCTGCCTATTTCTCCGGTCGTGCCTCTGAGAACACCCCTTCCCCACCGTCCATCCCCCATCCCAAGTGTGGCGCTTCTCAGAAGCGCATCCGATTGACTTTCAACTCCCGCTACAATCAGCCGCACCGGAACTCCATCAGATACGCGAAGCCTGCCACTGAACGCCATTGTCATCCTACACGTATTCCCTTCACGCCAAAGTCCCTGTGTCCACGCAAAACCCTAAACGCCACGCCTTACCTGTGAGCGAGTTTTGCCTCTGCCCGAAGCACATGAAGCATGCCCGACTGGGGTGACAAAGCCCGTCTAAGATCTCCACCCTGGACAAGCTCCCCCCCTCCCTCTTTCACAGCCCGTTCAATTCTCACACTTCCTTTCTCCCCAGATACACCATCCCACGAGATCTTTGTTCATCCCGAATTCAATCCCCCTCCGCGGCGTACCGCGCCCTTGCGCCTATTGGAGGGATCCCTATCGATATACACGCGTGATCCGAGACGGCCCGAAGCTGTCTACAGTGTTCATGACAACCGACTTTGATTTACTCAACATACGACTCTTTCTAGTGACCGGCTCGTTCGAAGTCACTATCTTGAAAGGCTGGCTGGCGATGGGGACCCTGCCAGTCGCGATTCCAACTACACGTTCGTGTCAAACTATACAGATCGTGGATGCTGGAAAGATAAGAGGCGATGACGAAAGTGCTCATCTTGCCAACATCTGAAGTAGCAGCGGTAGAATTTGCGCGGAATGGGATGATGTTGCCGGAATTTCCGACGAGTTCGGGTTCGAACATGTCGCACTTTGTTCGGGGGGAAGAATCCCTCGACATTATCGGCGGAAAAACCAGAGCCGGTTTGATGGGCACGGATCTCGTCACGGTATTGCATTGCTTCATGTTGTCATTCATGAAACTCGCGTGTTTCTTCATGTTTTGAAAACATTGTTCCTAGGCAGTACGTCTGAGTCATCATGCGGAACCTACAGTGCGAAGGACAGGAAGCGCCGTTGTGTCTCTACGTCAACGGGGGAGATATTTTTGCTCTTGGGGGAAGGTGGTCCCCCAGGTTCGGTCTGCAGGTTAGAAGCTCTGACGGCCACACGGCAATCGACCCTGGTCGGACCATTAGCGCAGATTACTCGAGAAGTTTTATCCCGAGCATCTTGCATTGTTGCGCTGAACATTGCTCGGAAACGTCCTACACCGCCCTGCAGCAGCCCTGAGCGGTCTGGCCGCAGTTCAGGCCTTCGATGTGTTGTTCGCTTCTTCCAAAATAGTGCATCAAGTTCCACCCCTGAGGTCCAGGTCAAAGATAGACGGAGGAACAAACTGCTGAACGTGGACAAGAAAAGAAGGGCTGACATGCCATTCCTATCTTCAACATTCCTCCGAGTCCGAACAATATGTGCCACAAAAGTCACTACCACCAAATAACGAACAGGCATTTATCTCGAACACGACCTTTGTAGCATGCTTTTCTGATTGTCAAGGCTTGACCGGTGACCACATCAAGTGGAGAAAAGATCAACCGGATAATATGCCACGGACGCGCCCTCAAAATTGACTACCCACCGCATTGTGACAGGGGCAATGGCCTGAGTCTGCCCCATTTTCTCTTCCAGAATGACCGCATCTGCCAGCTAGGTTACCTCCTATCTAATGATATCTGAAAGGAACCTGGCGCCCATTGTGAGGTCTGCCACAGCAAACCTATCACAGGTTGAGAACTCCGCGTGGCTTCCCTCAGGCTCTCACCCCGGCACCATCTCAGGCTGATGGAGCAGTCTGTTTGAGAATCATATCATTCTCAGGTCTTTCAGGCAGTAATTTAGCCCAATGACCGCTGGCGCTTCGATCGTTTGGGAGATTGTCACAGTATTTTTACCGGTTGGACTGATCAAGGCACCTTCAACGTGTCGAATAGGGTGCCTTAGCGTTGTATTCGGGGAAAACAGGGAGCCAGGGTAGGAGAAGGCGTTTCTCGGGCCATGCTTCCTGATTGTGGAAGTACTGCTTTCTTGGAGCATCCAGAGCTTTCGAGCATGCAAACTAAGAACGACAGTTCCCCTGAAATTCGACGACATGTACCTCGCTGATTGGACCGGCTTGACACGGGTGAGCTCCCTTAGCCAAGTGTGAGAAGCACGAACTATGTTGTGCAATGATGTCCATTGTCCCCGCTGTGCGTGGCCATGAGGTAATCCATCTCCAAATCCCGATTCTTTCACACTGTTAACCATAAAACCGCGTTTCAAAGTAGATTGTCGAATTTCCCGTTAGCGCTGGGAAAACAAAGAAGGGCCAACGGCACGTTAGCTCTCTGGTCGTTCGGCGGTCAGTCGCTTAACAGCCTTTGCGGAAGCGCTTGCCGCCGGTCCGATTTCTGATTTAGCACCCAGGGCCCGTTTGCATTGTTTTCGTCTCCGAAGCATGGCGCCTAAGTGTTCTCAGAGTAATGTGGGGCTCCCAAGTATATCGCTTTTGTCTGGTGCTCTTCTAAGCCGCGTGCAAGAAGGCATGGATATGGCCAGACACCAGTAAAAGTTGCTGCCAGTCTGCCGTCTTCCTGTCAAAGTTCATCGCAACCGTAAGTTGGCAACTATGGAACCCCGTGGTATTTCGATTGCGACAGAGGGGCATAATAGAATGAGGGATACTGATATGACCCGGCCTGATACGCGTGGACTAACTGCAGCAGGCGCCAGGATTTGTTGGTAACTACGACTAATTTAATGGAGAGGTGCCCCCGTTGCGACCGTGAGACCGCCTCATGCAAGATTAGATGCAAAAGTTTGATCAATCGTTGCCCTTGAAGAGCGACGTGACTTCAGCAGAACACCGTTGCTGTTGGTGCCTTGTAGCATGAGATATCTCGGGAAGTAGCCCGAATTCATTCGGCCCCATCATCAATCATATTCTCGACACCCGCGGACAAATAGTGTGGACAATCAGACAATGGACCACGTTATACCACTTGAACAGATGAACTTACGAAACATCTTTTTGAATGCGAGATTCCTCATTTGCATTGTTTGTGCTGAGCATCCTGTGGGGTTCTGCAAAAGTCGCATAGTCTGTATAGCCTGTTCAAGGCCGGCCGTAGCAGCGCTGACAAATATTGTGTTGGCATGACATTCGGCCGAACTTCTTTTTGCTTCCGCTTAATACACCTTTCAGATGTGCTTCATCCGCTGTTATAATACACTCCACCTGGCATTATATGGTCTATTGGGGTGGTTCATTCACAAGTTTTTCTTTCTTTCTTTAACAGGGCCTTCGCTTCAAGTGTTTGTCACACTGCCGATAGACACTTGCCAGCGCGGTACAGGTTTGAACAGCACGCCGGCATTCTGCTCAGTCTCGGGGTGCACTCGGAAGTGCACGGATTTGACATAAACAATTCATACTCTGATTGGTAATGGGCACCTCTCGGATAGCATTGTCAACCCTGGTACATCTTGCCAGCACTGCTCTGGGGGAATATTGCCTGTGCCTGTCCAAACCGCTCGAAATAGCCGCCTCTTGTGCCTGATCCTCCACAGTTTTTGATCTCATTCTCATCTCTCATCCCAACTACGACATACTCTGCATGGCGCCCGTGTCGAATCCTTGCTACCGCCTCATCTCCCGTCCGTCTGGATACCCGGACCCTGTCAAGAACTTCCAATATGATACCTCTGGCTCGATCGATCCGGACACTATCGACCTCAAGGGCGGTTTCCTGATGCAGACGCAGTTTCTTTCGGTTGACCCCTACATGCGAGGACGAATGGATGAGGGGACGTTTGACGCATGGGAGCTCGGAAACGTTTTCATGGGGTATGGGATCTCAGAAGTCATTCGAAGTGAGATACCGGAGTTTCAAGAGGGGGACATTTTGTACGGAATCCACCGTGCGTAGATCTTCCTGGACGCAATAGTGACAGCTCAGAGTAAAATTACGATCTAGGGTTCGAGCATTATACAATCCATGAAGGTTGGGAGGCGCAGACCAAAAAATGGCGCGTCATACACAATTTCGAGAACCTACCTCTTTCCGTGTATCTCGGCGTGGCGGGCATGCCTGGAAAGACAGCGTACTACGGTATGAAGGCGATCGGACAACCTAAGGCAGTAAGACGTGAAATCATGCGGGAATCCGGGCTATGTCTCACATTGCATCAACAGGGCGAAAGTATATTCGTGTCTACCGCTGCTGGCGTAGTTGGACAAACAGTTTGCCAACTGTCCAAAGCTTGGGGCCTCAAGGTTCTTGGTTCGACCGGTTCCGACGACAAGGTCAAATTCCTCCAGGAAGACATCCACGTTGATCATGCGTTCAATTACAAGAATAGCTCTACTGCGGACGAGGTAAAATTATTCGGTGGGCTGGATATCTTCTGGGACAACGTTGGAGGGCAGATCCTAGATATCGCACTGGCGAACATGAAAAGTCATGGGCGCATAATCATCTGCGGTCAAATCGCAAGATACAACGGAGAAAATCCTTACGGGATCAAGGTGAGTCCCATTCGCTTGCAGGTCATTGATCGATCCTGGCTAAATCAACTCAGAATGTCTTTAGCATGGTCTACAACGAAGTCACGTACGCCCATCTCTCTTGGAATCCTCGGCAAGGATTAGAACATTAACTGTTGTGTAGAATGAAAGGGCTATATGTCAATTCGTACGAGGAACAGTATAGCGAGGAGTTCTACTCGACTGTGCCCAAGATGATCGCGGACGGCAAAATGAAGTACACCGAGGAGGTCGTCGTCGGACTTGAGCACGCGGGAGACTTGTTGGTCAAGGTACTGAAGGGGCAGATCATGGGGAAAGTTGTTCTGCAGATGTGGGCTTAGAATACTATGTTCACCGATCTAGTGTTGAGAATCTAGTCAAAGGTCAATCTTGAAGCGTGACCTTGAAATGAACAAACATGCGGAGATCACCCGTTCAAGGATGGCGATGAGAGTCAATGCGCATGTCAGAAGCGCAGTAGGTGTCATGATCTCGGGAACGTCCAAATACACAAGGCAGAAACCCGCGCATGACGCAGGGATTCATGGGGCTTCCGACAAACTCGGCTAATCGCACTGCTCAAAAACATTGCCAAATATGTCCAGTTAACCTTTGGACCTTCCCAACGCTGGATAGAGAGCTCACATAGGATGAGAGTTCCCTGATAACTTGGTCCCCTGCAACTTCGGCGAGATTTCACTATCTGATATTGTACGGCCCATCCTTGCGCGATGGTGGCAACGCATATCAGTGGCCAGGAGGAGATATGCGTGCACCGGGCACACTCTTCCTTGACCTGATCCGGAATCAGCAGTAGCATACTTACTTTCATTTCCGCCCTCCAGGTGTCTTGGTTCTATACGCATCACCAGGGATTGGTCGAGGTCGATCAGATCCAAAATACTCCAATTGGCGAGGAATTGGATACGCGAAGGTGGGGAAAAGATCGTCTTTTGAGAAGGCCGATAGTTCGGATTTGGAAGAACGATTCTGCTCTTCCTCTTGTCTCGGCTCGCCCTGCATCGGCCATCGCAGTAGCACGGGTGCATCGGTTCTGGGGACCTCAACCTTCAGTCGGATGTAACATCCTGCTGCGGGATACTGTTCGGTTATTTGCCGATCCTCATAAGCATTCACATCCTTGAAGACACTGCGTGTTATCCCTGGTAGAACTGCGCACAACAGCATTCCTCTTAGTCGACATCATTGCCTGATTGGACTCAGTCAGTGGCTGCCATTACAGCAGTAGTCGTCTATGTTAGAAATCAGCATAAAATGCGGCCCCAGAGCAGGTCAAACACACCAACAAAGCGATTCAGTTTTTCTCATTGCATACCCTGAAACATACAGCAAGCCCAGCTTAATACTTACAATCTCCCTCGATACCAACATCTTCATCATACCAATCGTGCACAGATGGCACCTGTACCAAACCCTCGCTACCTTTTCCTCGCCTCGCCTGCAGGTTGGCCAGATCTCTCCAAAGACTTCCAATACGACGATTCTCGAACAATTGATCCCGACACAGTCGAGCTCAATGGCGGTTTCATCACAAAGACGCAATTCCTCTCTGTGGATCCATACATGCGAGGGCGTATGAATGCAGGAACATTCATGGCATGGCAACCGGGTGAGCCATGGACTGGATTTGGCATCTGTGAAGTGCTCCGAAGCGAAACTCCTGAATTTCAGAAGGGTGATACCATCTACGGCCACCTCCGTGAGTGAAAACTGGCCAGAAAATGTGAACGAGCACTAACATCCCATAGCATTTGAGCACTACACGGTGCATTGCATAGAGTCCGCACACGCCAACATGTTCCGCGTCATTAAGAATACTGAAAATATCCCGCTATCGGTCTATCTCGGGGTTGCCGGGTTGCCTGGAAAGACGGGGTACTATGGCCTGAAGGCAATTGGAGAGCCAAAAGCGGTATGTACATAGACTGCTCACAAGTACGAAGCGTTCCTGACCTCGAATGTTGCAGGGCGAGAGTATCTACGTCTCCACAGCCGCAGGAGTCGTAGGGACGGTCGTATGCCAGATCGCGAAGGAATGGGGCCTCCGCGTACTCGGGTCGACAGGATCTGACGAGAAGGTCAAGTTCCTCCAGGAGGATGTCGGGATCGATGCCTTTAATTACAAGACATCATGTGTCGATGAAGCGATCAAAGATTTCGGGGGGTTGGATATTTACTGGGATAACGTTGGCGCCGAGATGCTCGACACAGCCTTGATCAACATGAACCATCGTGGTCGGATCGTCATCTGTGGACATATCGCAGAATACAACGTCCCTGATGAGAAGAAACGCGGGATTAAGGTAGGCTGATCCTCGAGGACGTAGATTCGACGTGGCTGACGTTAACACAGCACACCTGGGAGATGGTCTACAAGGAGATCAGGTGAGCCCTTTGGTACGGAGAAGCGTGTTCGAACTCAACTGTATGCCAGAATGCAAGGGTTGTACGTCTTCTCGTATGAGGAGCAATACGCCGATGAGTTCTACGCGACCGTGCCAAAGATGGTTGCGGAGGGCAAGCTGAAGTACACCGAAGACATCACCGTCGGACTAGAGCATGCCGGAGAACTCTTGATGAGTGTGCTGAAGGGACAAAATACCGGGAAAGCCATTCTCCAGATGTACCCGTAGACCGTGACACGGAAAAGCTGCACCTTGTAGCATATATCTTTCTTGGTTTCTAGATTTGAATAGATGTGATCTTAGCGGAGAGGCTTCCTTTTGGCGATGAGGGCAGAAGGACAATACTGAGTACACAATGGTTGTTTGCAGAGAACACACAACGTGCTGCGGTCTTTAACTGCTTGTAAGCGTCCTGTGTCAAGTGACGTAATTGTACGTACGTCAGCTACATCCGAGGTAACCTCCGCGCTTCGTTCAGCGCCGTTTATGATCCAACCTTCCTCCGACTCTTACCATCTCCACCAGAGACGGACTCGACAATTATTCAAACTTTCCCACATGCTGCGCCGCATGTTTTCCCAGGATGGGGAACCTCGTTGGTGGTCTATTAAATTCGGCATGAGCTCTGCATCCTGCTGGATTTTGAGCGGACGGCATGTTGGAACCCCTACTCCCAGGGGGACTGCTGCAGTGCCTTTCGAATAAACCAATATCGCGTCGCAGAAGTCATGGAGTAAGAATGGTGTATAAATATTACCGGCTCAAGGCGCTTCTGTGCTTTTTTTGAAAACCGGTCCCTCATCGACACTTGGAAGTCAAGGCGTGCCAACCCGGCAATAGTTTGTGATGTCACCTCTCCGGAATCCGCGCTATCTCTTTATCTCTCGTCTCGAAGGATGGCCGGAGCTCTCTAACTTCAAGTATGATGAATCAGCAACGATTGATCTTTGACACCGCTGCACTCAACGGTGGCCTTCTGACAAAGACATTGTATCTCTCTGTGGATCCGTACATGCGTGGACGCATGGAGCCAGGGAGATTCATGTCCTGGATTCCAGGCCACCCCTGGAACGGTTTCGGTATCTGCGAAGTTCTTCGGAGCGAACTGCCTGGGTTCGAGAAGGGGGACCTGTTGCATGGCGCGATATGTGCGTTCCATCGAATCATTCCCACCGTGACGAAAAGCTGAAACACCACGGCATTCGAACTGTATTCTGTCATTTCGAAATATGAAATCGCTCCCAGAATGATTCGAGTGATCAAGAATCCTGAAGGCATTCCCTGGTCGGTGTACCTTGGGGTCGGAGGCCTTGCTGGAAAGACAGCTTACTACGGGCTGAAGGCGATTGCCGAACCGAAAGCCGCAAGTTGCACTGGCTTATCGATTTTCTTTTGTGACTGATGACTGGATCTAGGGAGAGACCATCTACGTTTCGACTGCCGCAGGGGTGGTCGGATCCGTCGTATGCCAACTTGCCAAAGCTATGGGTCTTCGTGTGCTCGGATCGACCGGCTCCGACCAGAAGGTCTAATTCCTCAAGGATAAACTCGGCCTCGATCAGGCATTCAACTACAAGACTGCATCCGTAGAGGAAGAGATCGAGAATTTCGGTGAACTCGACATTTACTGGGATAACGTGGGTGGGAAGATGCTGGATACGGCAATGGCGCATATGAAAGAAGGAGGGCGGATTGTCGTATGTGGCCAAATCTCGGAGTATAACATTCCCGACGAAGAAAAGTATGGCATAAAGGTGAGATGACCGGTCTTGTGCTTCTCCTCACTGACAAGAGTCCAGCATATATGGAATATGGTCTACAGAGAGCTCAAGTAAGCCCCTTCGCTAACATCTATGAGCATGCTACGAACCGTACGTGCGTTTTTAGGATGCAGGGCTTGTACGTATTCACCTTTGAGCAACAATACGTGGAGGAGTTCTACGCGACCGTGCCCAAGATGGTGGCGGACGGCAAGTTGAAGTATACCGAAGACATCACGGTTGGGCTTGAGCATGCAGGCGAGGTGCTGTTGAAGTTGCTCCACGGTCAAAACATTGGCAAGGCTATTATCCAAATGCAAGCGTAATCAAGAGGGGGCAGTCCTTACCATCTTCCTTCCCTAATCTGCCGTTGACGAAATTGTGCCACAAAGTATGCAGTACACATCCAATAAAATCATATGGAATAACTCGCCAGATGTCCAATGTTGCGATTAAGAGGGGTCGAATCCAAGAGAATCGGAGATTGGATTCACGGCTGAGTGCCCAACATGCCGTGAAGACGTCGATGGATCGGCGGCCATCATTCAGCGCATTGGCTTGATGAAGGTACCTTATATAGCATAGAATTTGACGGCTTCCTCGCCGCCAAGATAGACCACCAGGAAATTGGCTGAACGAATGATGTGTGCAGTTACCAGAGGTAATCGATGTTGGTGAACAATCCAGCAGATGGTCAACCAAGGTGACGCGTCAACAAGATAGGCTGCCCGATCAGCAAAAATGCCTCATATATATGTGGCTATTACGTCGCCTCCTGAGCACGGGTGCAATGCGCGATTTAATGGATGCCTTCCTCTGACATTTCTATCAAATAGTGCTGTCTCCATGAAGCTACAATCATCTTACACTTGTCCTCTTTCCGTGGCCAATCTGGACGGAGGACAGTACGGTCACAACTCCCGTCAACACCCGAGCCTACTCTCGTTCTACTTGGACATCGTAATGCACCCTCGCTCCTCTCCTTGATTCCTATACCTCTGCTTAAGGGCTTTTATACACAACAAGCACACCTGTCGACCATTCAAACCTTACCTGCGCTTCATCATGGTCTAACCCCATAACACAAGGCTGGAACACATCTGCCTGATCGTTCGTCGAATCCCCGATGGATCTTCCTTAGCACTCTAATGCGCAGCTGCGGTGTACCAAACGCGTGCTGATCCCATTGCGCTGGTCCTTGAGGATTATATATGTTGACAAGGGGGCTGCATCTGGCAACACAGCCAAAATTCTGCCGTCGCGTACCGCACAAGCTGGCAGCCGACAATTATGCAACCTGGTGTCCGAATTCTTGGGATGCAGCTCCTACTCGTGGTCTGATATAGGTTGGAATCGTCTCTAAGTCGGTCTTACTGTAGAATGGTGAAAATTGAAGAACGACCTTCCCAGTCGCACATTTTTTCGGCGCCGTCCATTCCGCCCAGCCGGGCATTCCAGCGGAAGCAATCGGAACGTGCCGCGTGCCTCTAGGGGATAACCCGGTGGGCGAGACTTGCTGGGTACACATCCCTCCCTGTTCGAGTCGCTCTCTCTCTCCGTTCGGAAGTGGGACGACGTGAACAAAAGCATCATGGTACGAAACAGAGATGATCGATGTATTATAGCTAATAAATCCCCACAGGTATATGTGAACGACCGAAAATACGCATGGTTCGTTGGACTGGATTGATGTGCGAATCATTGCTCAATATACTACAGCGCAACTTGCATCAAAGGCCATCGATCGGCCAACTGCGCTCACAACACCCGGCCACTATTTGAGGTGAAGCGTAAAGGTCGTCCGCAGACACAGTGCGAACGATGCCGCCAGCGACGGAAGCGGGATCGATCGCATGTCCGTTGCGACTGTCTAACGAAGCTCGAGAATGGGGAAGGGGGCGATAACGGTGATGTGCCTATGTTTTCTGGCGGCGTGGATGATATCAAGAGTGGGATAAGTGTGCTGGCACCGTATCCAGCCATGCCAAGGAGTATAAGCGTTTCCACACTGCATCGGAAGGTTGAGCTCATATATCTACTAGAAAAGCGGATTCTCAACCCATGTGACTGTGGAGACGACTGTCAATGCGGATCCCATTCCAGACCGGGAACCGGGAAGAAACCGCGTATCTCAAGCCCCTCGCCTCCTCCGTTGTCAGCGATACAATCGGACCTAGTACATGGGCTGCAGGGCGGGGATGTATCACGTCCATCCCCGGAAAGCGAAGATCCAGCAACATCGGATGCAGAGGACGAGCCTGCGGAGGAAGTCCCGTATTGCTGTGGTCCCGGATGCTCTTGTCGCCCTCATGCGCAACAACCTCAGCAGGAAATACGGGAGAGTCTACGTCCGTTTGCAACTCCGAAGATCGACGAAGATATTCCGACACCCAATGCCAGTTCTGTCGTGAACGAGAAGGATGAAGTCGCCGCACCTGATTCCGAGGCGGATTCCACGCCAGATTGGCTGAACTCAGTGCCTCGATTTCCCTCCTTGCCCTCTGCTCAACCAGGGCCATCATCACAGCGTATCACGCTCCCGCCTCTAAGTGCGCTACCATGGATTGAGCCAGCCCAACCGCAGAACCATCATCCCACTATCGTATATGTCCAGACTGTAGGGATCGCACGCTGTTCCTGTGGCTGGTCATGCGTCTGCCCTGGGTGCGGCGAGCACTCTCCTCGGACCGCAGTATATGCGCTTCAAACCTGCCCGGAGTTCTGCGCACAATGCCCGCCAGTCCATCCCGCCCATGTCCGGCCCCTGCCTCATTCCCACGCCTACGATACCTCCACTTTCGGTGCGCATTACCTATCCCACCCTTCAGTTCACCACCATCAGCATTCCCACCAATATCGGGCAGAAGCAAGAATACCGACCACCGCTCCCCCCCTGGTCGTTCCTGGGCCTCCAACCCGGCGACCAACATCATCGCATTCTCGTGACATTCGTCCCATAACAAGCGGCATTCGCAGCAGTGCTATGAATAGAGAAGATTCAGAAGACCTTCCGCCCAGGTCAGGCGGTTTGGGGATGTAGGATTTGCGGCGCTAGAAGAATCGGGAGACAACATTACGACCGCCCGCCATTGTTTCGGCTACCAACCACTGTATTCCCTCGCTCTTAGTCCAGCCTCATTTCATTTTGGTCGTTTCGCAGTCTTGTCCTAACTATCGGTTGATGGCCCAGGATTGCTGCATATCTCAGGGTCTCCCCGGTAATCTTTGTCATGTTCGGCCTGTTCTCCTTATGAAACGTTGGGTAAAGTTCGCGTCCTGTCAGTGTATTTGGAAATGTAAAGGGCTGATTAAAGCTAGATACTACGACAATTGATGTATGACAATACTTGCCCGAACCATGGCGGGTGATGTGGTTGTTGTCCGACTTCATTACGAGAAACGAAATACCGGCCCCCGTTTGGTACTATATCTGGCCGATATCATCCGTCCAACACAGGCCTTTAAGTACACAGCATCCCGCAGGACCATCCTTTCATTTATTCCTGAGCACACGGATATAGGAACAGAAGTTTGATCCGAGTGTTATACAGAACTCTGCCAATTCCGCATTTCCTCCGAGTCATCAACTTCTCTCCACACGAAACCTCAACTATTACGATCATCCCGCGCGCAAACGAAGGTATGAATGAATCCCTATCCACATGCCGCTTTATGATTCCAGCTTACGCAGTCCGTAGCAGAGATACCCGGTTTACATGCCACCTCCACAAACAAGCGCTCAACACCCTCACCGAAAGCACTTCATGCCAATAATGAATTCCAACATCCCATCACGCGCAAAATTGATGAAGTCCCTGACCTGACCCAATAGATTATGTGAAAGACCGGGCTTCTGTCCGTGGGCTTCTCCCCGTCTCCGGCGCTCATGGACTTGCTTGATCGTCAAGCTACTTCCTCCGTGATGTGAAGAAAACGCACATCAGATGTCCGTCGGCCTCAGAAGCGATCACCTCTCTCTTTCTGTTCTCCTGGAATACCAGTTCCGTGCACTATTCAATTCCGCCACATTCCGTGTAACGGGCCGTATAAAACCAATCCCCAGCGATGGGTGAAACTCCAGGTCGACACGCTCCGACACGTCGTCCACACTCTCAGCTCGTCTCCCGATGTTGACACTCCTCAAGCTCAGCGCTCTGACACTCGTCGTCCCCGCGTATGCCAGTTCATGGGGCCTCGTCGCCCCTTCTGGGAACACCTGGATCCAGATGGTCTGGACGTGCGTCTCCCCCTCTTACCCCGTACATCTCCTGAACTCGTAGGCAGGCAACACGTCCCCCAAGCTCCCCCAGCGGACGTGACCGGCGGCCCGTGGTACTTCTGGGTATGTCCCGCGCAGCCCCCATCAACCCCACTCATACCCGATAGTGCGGGCTCGAACCTGACGGAGGCGGGGTCATCCAGCCCGTGATGGCCTACCACGGTCCCGAAGGTCAGATGACGAACCCGAACCCCTCCTTCCCCCAAGTCTACGCTATGAACGTATGTCCCCCCGGCCTCTCCCCTCACATCCCTCTCTCACAAGGAGCAGCTCTGGTCCCTGCCCTGGAACTACGGACAAGCCGGTGCGCCCGCATACCAGGAGTCTACCGGGATCTGGGTAGCGGAAAATGATCAAGTAGCGTGTTCCGTCACCTGGGAAAACGGGATCTGGACACAGAGCGCAAACGTTATCACGGGCCAGGCGGCGGGGCAGAGTATAACGATGAATACGGATCCGAATGGGTTCTTCCTTGGCGAGAACTCGGGGTTTGATAATACAATATTTGCTGTGTGTGAGACGGAGTACGTCCCTTCCCTTCCCTCGCATTGGATGCACAAGCACGGGCTAACCCTTCCCCTTCCCAGACTAGACGGCACCCAAGCAGGGGAATGGAACTACCCCATAGTGTTCACCGACCTCTTCCTACGCGCCGCCTCCTCCTCCGGGGTAGAAGCGCTCTGCTCCGACCCGGTAGGCAACGGCCAGCTCGGAGGGGTAGGGTCGATCCAGTTTGAAGATTTTAGCATGTTTGACCCGGAGACGTGTCATTGGTCTACGGTTACGCTTTTGCCGCCTTAGAGCTGCGTGGGGGTTGGGTTGGGTTGGGTTGGGTTGGGGGTGTAAATGTGGCCGAAGGGAAGTCGAATAAAGTTATGTTCTTCTCATCGGAAGGGTTTCGCGCGCCCCCTCTCAGCGGCCATCGATCACTCAATCCGTTCATCCCTGCTACTTCCTGCGGTTTTCACTCTCGGCATTAAAGCAACATCTATTGACCCAACTCCCACGCTCATCAACAATACCCGGTGACACACCCAGTTGTCCGGCTATTGAGAGCAGGTCCCTGGATTGACGTAGTACTGTATCATCTCACTGCCGGTCCCTGTTCCCTCTGTACCACTCCAACCGGTATTGGACTTTCTGAATTGCTGACTTGTGGCCTGAGGGCGCTGTGCGTGTGCGTGGGCTTGCTTGCTGAATGCTGAATGCTGGTGGCTGGTAGTTGCATAGAATCCTGGGAACGAAATGATGCAACGTGTCTCGGCGACATGCGACTCCGGTTTCAACTAGTCCTAGGCAGTGAGAGGAGGGTAGGAGGGTATATAACGAACCACTCTTACACCCCTCTCCTCCTCCTCCTCCCCCCCATCACCGTCATCCACAAGATGTCCCTCCCCAACCCGACGCTCATCTTCCTCTCCCGCCCCCTCACCTTCCCCACCAGCACAAACATCTCCCTCCTAACTCCCTCCATCAACCTCTCCCTCCCGCTAGAAGGCGGCTTCCTCACCCGCACCCTCTGGGTCAGCCTCGACCCCTATATGAGGGGCCGGATGACCTCCGGCTGGGAAGAGGGGAGCGTTTGGTCCGGATTCGGAGTTTCGGAAGTTCTGAGGTCGGAAGTCGAGGGCTTGAAAGTGGGTGATAAGCTATACGGGCACCAACGTCTGTCCCCCCAGTTGTCCTCCCCCCCTGCAAACCTAACCAAACCGCAGCATACCAAGCATACATCCTCCACCCCCCTTCCGAGCGAGCAGCATACCGTCTCCTCCCCTCCCCCTCTCCTATCCCTCTCTCGGCCTACCTCGGCCCCGCAGGCATGCCAGGCAAGACCGCCTTCTACGGGCTCAAAGCCCTAGCCCACCCCCAAGCCGGGGAGAAGATATTCGTCTCCGCCGCTGCTGGTGCTGTGGGGCAGCTCGTTTGCCAGCTGTGTAAGGCCTGGGGAGTGCGAGTCCTGGGAAGCGCGGGGAGTGAGGATAAAGTGCGATTCTTGATCGATCAGCTGGGGGTGGAGGCGTTTAACTACAAAGAGGTGGATACTGCCCTGCAGCTGAAGAGATTTGGACCGGTGGATGTGTATTGGGATAATGTGGGTGGGGAGACGCTGGACTGTGCTTTGGAGGCGATGAATAGACGGGGGAGGATCGTTGTCTGTGGGCATATATCGATGTACAACGTTCCCAAAGAACAGCGGTATGGGCTCAAGGTGCGCTCCCCCACACATCACATCACGTCACGTCACACGGTGCATAACAGCTAACACTGTACACTGTACACAGAACACACACGAGATGATATACAAAGAACTCTCTATGCAGGGGCTTTCTGTCACTCCCTACGAGCAAGAGTACGCAGACGAGTTCTACGCTACTGTACCCCCACTTATCGCCCATGGTGAGATCAAGTACATGGAGGAAGTGACGGAGGGGCTGGAGAATGCAGCGGAGGCGTTTGTAGGGCTGTTGAAGGGGGAGAATAGGGGGAAGGTTGTTGTTAAAGTTACTTGAGCGGGGGTTGAGCAGGCGAAGAGTCGAGGTTGTTCAAGAAGCTCGGGGTCGGAGGTACTAGTGACCTGATAGTGATGATGATGCGCCGAGAGATGAAAGATGAACAATGAATGATGAATGATGAACACAGCCAGTTTCCCACCCTCTCGCCATCCAAAACTGCGAACTTGTGGTGGCTGGCGATCCTCCCGCCCAACTTCCTCAGAGCTCCCCTAACTTTGGGAGAGACAGCTCTAACTCATGGAGAGCTTAGGACTGGGGTTACAATTGGTGGGCTGTGCACGGGTGGGCGTTAGACAGGCGGTAATGACTACCGTACGTGCCGTTCATGAGGATCAAAGCATAGTCAGCAGACACGTGCAAGGACCAAAGGAGCGGGGTGACCTGACTGCTGTGCCCAGGACGGATTAGAAGAACTGATAATAAGCCTGAGTGATTGGATTGGATTGGATTGAAGCTACATGTACGACGTTAATGGATGAACGAGGGATGAGGGATGAGGGATGAGGGGAAGATGATGTCACCTATCCGGGGAAATGTATGTACAGCCCAAGTACAAATCTTAGTACGTAAGAGAGACCTGAAAATCCCTGCTTCTCATTCCTATTCCAGAGTCAGTGGTTCTTCTCCCTCCCGGTCGCTGGCATCCACGTCAACTGAACCCCTCGGCCGACCTCCGCCGTACCCATACGTACTCCAGTTACAGTTGGAGCCCAGCTACTTCTACACGAGGCAACCTCGCTGCCCTTATTCCTTTCACACTCGGCAGGAAGAGACTTGTTACCGCCGGTCTGGATCAGGGAGGCCGTGAACGTTTACCTTTACGCTGCTTGCTGCTTGCTTTCAACGGCAGGATAAGGCGGGCGATTGATCAGTTGAAGAGTTGGGGCATATGAGAAGAGGGATACGCCCATAGAGCCGTCCCAGTCATTAATTGTCGCTGCCTTGTAAGCGCCCGCTCGGCGTATGCTTTTCCTTCCCCGCTCTTGGGTTTCCGGGGATAAAAGGGTCAGCCCCGCGTGCCCGGCCCGAGACACCGTATGTTTCCCCGGAGGCGGCGGACATTGTACATTACCCTGCCTGCTCCTGCCCTGCCCTGCCCTCTCCTATCACACCTGTGCATCAGAGTCAATCCTTAATCTATATACTGGTATGAGAACCTTCATGAAGAAGCAGGTGGACCACGCCGTGCCGAGGAAAGGGAGCTGCCGATCCAATTCCTTCTCATCACACTACTTCCTATTTTTTCACTTTTTCTTTCTCCTTCCTAACTTCTGACTTCTGTTGCTTCCCACTCGGCAGATGCACCGACAGAAGAGCCAAGCGCCCGTCTTGGGGCACAGCACCTGATTAGCAAATATGCCATGCAGAGCCTAGTCACACCAAGATATTTGGATGGCATGACGCCCGCTATACCTTACTCGGAGGCCGCTCGCTGTGTGCTGGAATGCGCACCAACGTACAACATGCATCCACATCGGCAGGGTTAACGTTAACTTTTAACCTCTTCAAGTGCTAGTGGGTTATTTAGCGCTCCTCTCCCCTCTGGGTGAGCTCCCCCTTTCCCACTTCCCACTTTTCCTCTTCCTCTTCCTCTTCCATCTTACGCTAGTCTTGCCAACGCGGCGCAGAGCAGGGCACGCACCGCAGCACCGCTCGTTAAAGGCACTAGCATCCCCCTCCTCGTCCCCTCCCTCCTTCCTGCCTTCCTGCAAGGCATACGCCAGGAGATCCCAAATCGAATCCACGGCCACTACTCCCTACCCCCGTCACGCAGGTAGAACTCATGGCGGCCGGGCCAGCGATAGACGCTTCCTGGGGCGCGGTGCTTATCGGTGTTTTTCTCGCTATATTGTTCGTCCCTCCTGCTTCCCCCGATACTAGCTAGCTGATGCCCGGTGCTGAAAAGCTTGTATGGACTCCTCACGCTCCAGGTATATGTGTATCATGATATGTTCCCGAGGGACGTCTGGTGGCTCAAGCTAGTCGTCGCTTCCGTCTGGTACGCCCTCCCCCCCCCTCCCCCCTCCTGCCTGCTAATTATAACACCGTGTAGGATCCTCGACACCCTGCACACGGTGTTCATCAGCCACCTGGTGTATACGAACCTGATCACGAACTTTGGAGACTATGAGGCTATCGAGCATAATGGTTGGAGCTTTAACATTAATGTGCTAATCACGACGTTTGTGGCGGCCATATCTCAGGTGTTCTTCATACATCGGTGTTGGAGATGTACGTCGTTCGTTCGTTCCCACTTTCCTCCTCCCCTTCCTTCCTTTCTTTGGGAGTTTATGCTGCGCTGGACTGGAATGCCGGTTATGCACCCCGCTTCTCCGGTTCTCGTTCTCCTCCCCGTTTCCCACACCGAAGCTAACACCCCCCAGTCGACAAAAGCATCTTCAACACCATCGCCAGCAGCGTGATCCTCCTCTTCGCCTGCGTGCAATTCGCCTTCGGCTCCCGTACGCCCCCTCTCCCTCCCCCCTCTAACCTACCTGACCCCAACCTACTATGCCAGTCTGCACACACCTAACGTTCATCCTCACAAACTACTCCCAGTTCCTGGAATATAAGTGGGCTGTGGACACCTGGCTCGGCTCGGCTGCGGTTACGGATATACTCGTTTCTTGTGCGCTGGTTAGGAGCTTGTTGATGAAGAGGAACGAGGTGCAACGGACGAGGAACTTGATCGAGAAACTTATACGGTGGACGGTTACTACGGGGTTGATCACGAGGTACGCGAGCCTGTCCTCATACTTCTATCTACATCTACTTGTGCTCGGGGAGTCGAAGCTGATGGGTGATTTAGCGTATGGGCATTACTCGACCTTGCCGTGTTCACCGGGAGCGAAACGACGCTCATCCACCTTTTTTTCAACATCATGCTCGCCAAGATGTACGCCAACACGCTCCTAGCAGCGCTAAACCACCGCACGTCCAACAAACCCGAGGACTCTCCCATCCTCCCGACCAGTACGGCAGGGCACAGTATTTCCCTCTCCCGGCTGTCGAGGGGGAGCCGCGCGCTGACGTTGACGACGACGACGACGATGGCTTCTGCGAGAAGGGGGAGGACGCAGAGTGTTTCTTTTGCGTTGGATGGGTGTGAGCTGGATCAGGCAGAGAGGGGGGTGAGAGTGGATGTGGAGACTGTGACTGCTAGTGTGGGCAGTGGGAGCGTGGACTGCTATGACGATGTGGACGTGGACGTGGACGGGGATGGGGATGGGGATGGGGAGGGCGATGGAGAGAGGGACGAGAGTAAGGTCGAATTGGAGATCGAGAGTCCGAGCACGAGCCTGCCTACGCTCGCTAGTGGGAAAGTAGGCGAAGGGTGCTGAGCCCTCTCTCTCCCCTCAGGCGGGGAGGTGGGGAGTGGGGGACTAGAGATGGTCATGGGGAGTACTTGTAAGCTGCGCTGACTTCGCGGGTTGTAACGTTTTTGTACTTTTTGGGCTTGTATTGGGAGAAAGAGAAGATTATACTCGTACTGATCGTGTTAGTGATACCGCTTCGGACTGGCAAGGCAAGGTTAGGGTTAGTGTAGCGTAGTGGAAAAACGTCTCTGGCGTACAGTAATGGATATGAATTGTATGTTCAGTATGTGGGTTGTTAACCCTAACCCTTGTTTGTTGCTCTCTGTTGACCACTCATTCCCTGTTGACCATCTGGCTGCCTCACTCCCTTGTACGTATACATCACATCGACCTTGTGCGCTTGGAGTCAGCTGCTTGATATACTTCTGCTTCTGCTTCTGCTGATGTACACGATGGACGAATGACGGTTGATGAAGGACGAAAAATAGACCGAAGTTGTCCGCCCAGTCCGGGCGTATCAACACTGATCATGCCTTGGAGGGACATAAGCAGCTTAAGCAGCTCTGCACCTCTGGATGCCCTCCCCTCGGCTCATGACACACATCATGTCCCTTCTTCCCAACCCTCGTGTCCTCCTCTCCTCCTACCCTTCCCACTACCCAACCAAGGAGACGTTCTCCTTCTCGCCCACCACACTCGATCCTACCCTCCCCCTGCACGGCGGCATCCTCACTCGCCTCCTGTACATCAGCGTCGACCCGTACATGCGTACTCGTATGGTTCACGGCGGGTGGAAGCTGGGTGAACCACCTATAGCGAGCGGGGTTGCCGAAGTCGTCCGGTCTGAACATCCTGTCTTCCCGGAACAGGCAAAGCTTTTTGGGTTATTTCGTGCGCCCCTTTCCTCATTCCTCGTGCTACACCAGCTCAAAGCACGCAGATTTCCAGAAATACGAGTACTTTGACTCTTCCTATTCCCATTGGGGGGACTTTAGGATCTTGCACAACGAACAAGGTATCCCCTGGACCGCATATCTCAGCGCAGCGGGGCTCAACGTCCGTCCTCCTCCCTCCCACATACTCAGAACTAACCAAACTCACAAAACAGGGGAAAACAGCTTTCTACGGTCTCAAAGCCCTCGCACACCCCCAACCCCGAGAGAAGATATTCGTCACCACCGGCGCGGGGAGCGTAGGGCTCGTCGTCTGCCAACCATGTACATCCTGGGGCCTGTCCGTGCTAGCGAGCACGGACACGGACGAGAAAGCCGAGTATCTCCGCTCGCTCGGGATTAGCGCTTTCAATTACCGCACGGCGTCTACTTCCCATGAACTGGAGAAGTTTGGAGGAGTGGACATCTACTGAGATAACGTGGGCGGGGAGATGCTGGACTTGGCACTGCAGGCCATGAATCGTGGGGGAAGGGTGGTGATATGCGGGATTGCAAGTGGGTACAACGTACCGGAACAAGATCGTTATCGACACAAAGCACGCCTTTCCCCTCTTCCCTCTTCCATCTCTTCCCCCTCCCTCGCTCTCCCCTCCTTTCCCCTTCTCTCATCTCTGGGTGGCAGAGCCCCAGCTAACAAAAAAAAACAGAACATCCACCTGATCCTAACCAACCAACTCCAACTGCTCGGTCTCTCCATGTCCGCGCACGAAACCCAATACAGCGCCGAGTTCTCAGCTACAGTACCGGGGCAGATCAGGGACGGGAAGATCCGCTACTTGGAGGAGGAGGTACAGGGCTTGGAAGGAGTGGGGGAGCTGTTGGAGAGGGTGCTGAGGGGTGAGACGAGGGGGAAGGGGGTTATCGAGGTTTAGCATTGGAGCATGGACTGGGTGGGTTGCCTTGGGGAAATGGGTGAGTGGAGGCGAGATGTGCTTTTTGGGAGGGCGCTGATTTGCCGCTTGATGTAGCACTGTAAGGGGATATGTAGAAGGTTCAGCCATGTCTCTATGGATGACGGTCTTGCAGAGGCTATAGATGACCGGTTCTTTTCCCCATGTCTGGTGAAGGGCTGCCCTCAGCCCCTGCGCGATTGTAGAAAACAACCGAGGTGGCAGGTCTGATGGTCTGCGAGAGAGAGGGGTTGGAAGGGATTGTGAACTCACACACGGAAATTTTGTGGCTTTCCCTTTGGGTAGAAAAGGTGAGCTTGGGGTTGGTCCTCCTCTGGTCCTCTACTGAATCGCACCTTCCCGAAGTGTATCTATCTTATGGTTGGCAATGTGTTTACCTCTTCGTATGTCAAATGGGAAGGTCCTCCCAGCACCGTCATATTGCCAAGTTATGGAAATGCGTTTCTCATCTTGTTGAAAGGCCAGGCTGCCGCCCTGATTGTATTTGCAAATCCTCCCTCAAGCTAGGAAACCCTCGGAAAGCTCCAACAAACCCAAGGGAAAGATCCTCAACAGCACTCAAGCTTGGCAGACCTGCACCGGACCACGCGCTAGTATGTCACTTGGTAAGAAGGAAGTGAAGGGTTACGAATGGTCTATTTCCCCCCCTTCGATACCAGAGAAAGGATTTCCCTCTCAGGTATGTAAACTTCCATCCCACTCATGGCGCGTGCTCATTACTCTACCGCAGTTAGGCATGACAGGTGACCACCACAGTTCCTGCGAGTCAACTATCGACAATCTTGGCATCTATTATACTGTTTCAAGTCCATCGCTTCTGCCTGCCAGCATCAAGTGCGTAATATGGACATCATCATATACGCGCGCTGCGTGATCCTTTGTTGGCGAATTCGTGGTAAGCGTGGTCGAATCCGATCTCGTTGTAGTTGCTTACGCACATCATCTGTCCCTCTCCGATCCCCTCCAGCCCCATAAATGCTCGAATATGCGAGCTTGAACGTCCCCCCACACGTAGGGTGCATGCCCAAGACCACCCTGAAGCCTGTCGAAAATGCTACTGGCTCCTCTCTTGCCGCTTCCGCTTACGCAGGCAATATCCTGGTCTCTCTTCCTCCCTGTAGGAAACACCTGGGTTTAGCAACAGTTCACCTCAGTTCCGCTCTGCTCAGCTCTTGGAGATGCCCTGCTAAGGATCTCTCAGGTTTATAGTCCCGCCGGCTCCTCCTCCGGAGGTAACGACAGGTCCGTGGTATTTCTGGGTACGCTTCCCTCCTGTCTTCCAACGTTATTCTCATACCCGGTTCGTGCAGTGTGGCGTTCAACCCAGTGGTGGTGGTGTCATCCAGCCTGTCCTCGGTTATCGTGCGGGCGGGGAGGAAAATCCCGTGAACCCCGATCCTCCATTCCCCCAGGTGTGGGCTCTGAACGTACGTCGTTCGTGAGCGGCATCGAACATGCCTGCTGATGTGTTTCAAAGATCTGGGCCCTCCCTTGGAACTACGGCCCTGGAAATGGCTTTCAACTGCAAGAATCTCAGGGTATCTGGGTCGCCGAGGGTGATCAGATCGCCTCTACAGTGACTTGGGAACAAGAGAGCCAAGACTGGATCCAGACTGCAGAAGTCGTTTCGGGGCTAGCGGATGGGAATGATGTGTGGATGGTTTCCGACGCATATAATTGGGAGAGTAATGGCTCTGGGGACGATAATACGCGCGAAATAGTCTGTGAATCCGAGTGAGTATTCCCAGTGAACTGAACCGGCAAGACCGCACCTGAACTCTTTACAGGCTGTATGGAAACCAGATCTCCTATTGGAACTTCTCCGTCGTGTTTACGGATGTGACCTTCCGCGCTGCTAACTCGAATGGGGTCGAGTATATCTGCTCGGGCCAGACAAGCCATTCTGATGGGAACGGGTACATCACTTTCAAGGGTTTCGAGATGTTGGACGATCAGACGTGCTATTGGTCTTCCATTACCCTGACCGCTCCTTGAACTCCCAGAGAACAGTTTCATGTCAGCTGAGGCTTTGTTTTGATGCAGAAATTCCTGAAATTGTGGTTATTCGTCATGTTCGGCCTTGTCTGCGCAATGAGGTCATTTGTCCCACTGAATGCTGGTCGCCACGTTTGACTATCCGACTGCCTCTATTATACACGACCTCGGCAATTTGGTCCCCGGGAATGGGGCAATACTAGCCTCATCTCTGGGCCGACAAAGCCGAACAGGGCTGAACAGCCGTTTTGTACACATATGGAGCAAATAACCTCATGATGCGTGCTTCCATCCCTCCAAATATCTTTTGTACTATTGATAATTGTGCTGATCTGTTGACAGAACCGAACTTTGTTTCCCCATAAAGACCTGCTCCACATGTTGTCTCGGACATTCAGCATCCATGGACGTAATATGGACATGAGATGGTTGTGGGGAGTTTGCTTGTAAGTACGTAAATGCACCCGCATTTATTATTGGTGTTTACACGTCATCTCCTCTTCCTCCTAGTGCACTGGATCGCAGCTGGTCTATAAATTGAATCAATTTACTGCCTGGATACGGTCCACACTGGCTTGGTTTCATTGTCAGACCGTCTGCCTTCTCTCCATTCAATATGCTACTGACTGTTCCTACCCTCCTTGCTTTCCTGCTCGGATTTGTCCAGGCAGTCTCCTGGTCCATAGTCCTACCAGAGAACAACACCTGGGTTGAGCAACAACTCATGTATGTGGAGAGCTTCTTTTGTCTTCACGTCTACCTCACGGTCCCTCAGCGTTGCCGTTCCGCCGTATCCTAATGAGGATATATTTGGTCCATGGATATTCTCGGCATGCTTCTTCCCGTCCAACTCTTGCCGTCCTTCTTACTGCCCGAATCCGTAGTGCGGGTTTCAACCCGACGGTGGCGGAATAATTCAGTTTGGTCTCGGCTACTACAGCACCGTAGGGGAGGTCAATCCCGCTAACCCCAGCCCTGGGTTTCCCCAGAAATGGGCTGTGAATGTGCGTCGTTTTCTTTTTTTTGTACAACAGAGACTGACACGTTTCAAGCTCATGGCCATACCTTGGAACTATACCTCTGGGGGTGTGATCCAAAGCCAAGGTCTTTGGGTCGCTGAGGGTGATAAGATTTCATCCCGATCAACATGGGAGGCGGATCAACACGAATGGATGCAGAGAGCAAAGGACCCGAATGGGAAAATGAGCCCACATGAGGTGGAATTGACTTCCCCAGCAAGTAACTGGAAGGGCGACGGTGCGGGGGACGATAACACGCATCAGGTGGTGTGCGAATCTCAGTAAGTAATTCCCTCGATTTGGGAGTTATACAGCCCGGCAACTTGACCGTTTTTCCCCCTAAACCTTTGCAGGTTATATGGGGACCAAACTTCCTATTGGAACTTTCCCGTCACGTTCATTGGCATGATATTCCGCGCAGCTAACTCCAATGGGGTCGCAACTGCGTGTAGGTCGGCGAGCTCAACTGGTGTAGACGGAGATGTCACGGCTGAGGGGTTTAGAATGCCGGACGCTCAGTCCTGCTACTGGGACACCCTTACATTCACTCCTTGGAGAGAGTAGGTAATTCTCTGGCCGATGATACCTAATTTTGTAAAACTACCTCTCTTGTATCATGAGGTCACCGAGCCATGCTCGCCGAGGGATCGGGTGTCAAAGTAGGGAGTGGCGAACGCCAATACGATTCATTTCATTTTTTACACATTGACAAAGAGAGCAACACAAGGTATGGACTCACGTCTAAGGGGGAAGAAGTGTCACAGTTGACCAGTGGCATGTCTCTGCGTCAAGCATGCTGAACCCCTCGAACTGGATCGAACCCGCTCCAGCGGAGTGCACCGGGTTTGCCGTATCGGCACAGAGTGCCTCGATCCCGTCAGACGTAGCGGCACGGATGAAAAGGTCGGTGAAGACGACAGGGAAGTTCCATTCGCCGGTCTGGGAGCCGTCCAGCCTGAATACATAACGGGGGTCATTAGTCTCAAACTGCATCAATAACACATTAGAGAAAGCAACGCACTCAGCATCGCAAACCGCGAAGTTGGTGTTGTCAAATCCTGGAGTCTCGCCCTGGAAGTAATTCGTTTGCGAGGTCAAGGATATCGACTGCCCCGCGGCCTGGCCGGAGATAACCTGTGCCGTCTGCCCCCACTGGCCGTTCTCCCAGGTGACAGTACCTACGATCTGGGCACCTTCATCTACCCAGAAACCCTCAGATTGGATGGCCGGGAGCCCATCCGGTTGACCTTGGTTCCCAGGCTACCGCCCAGAGCTGCACTTTGACGTCAGTTTGACATCATGAAGGAGGAATGCGAGACTTGCGTTCACCGCATAGACCTCTGGAAACGGAGGGTTAGGGTTGGTCATCTGTCCCTCGGCGTTATCCTATGCCAGTACAGGCTGCAGGACTCCACCGCCATTTGGTTGGAGACCGCACTAGAGACACAGTTGTGAGCAATGAAAGTGGATCCATGCAGGGTCACATACCCAGAAGAACCAAGGTCCGGAGTTGACGTCAGAGGGAGGACCTTGTGGTACATGCTGACTGTTGATCGATTCAGTAACCGTGTACAACCCAGCGATATAAACTCACGTGAACACCATCTGGATCCAGGGGTTCCCGGAGGGGGTGAACAAGCCCCATGAAATTGCATGAGTTGGTTGCGCGAGAAGGGCGAGCGCCCCGAGGATGAGAGTTGACAACATCGGGTTCAAGGTCTCCGAAAGTGTGGACGTAAAGCCAAGCTCGAGGACCTGGCTGGATGTTGATGTTCCGACCATCTTTTTATACCAGTCTGTGCCAGAGCAGGAAGGGCATTTCCGGTAATTGATCCATGAAAGAACCCCTCTGATCCGCAAAGTTACCTCGAGGCAGAGAGGGTAATCCAGGCCTCGACCGGATGGTGACCTGCAATACAGAGCAATGTTTACTCTCGCTGGTTCATTTGGAAAAAAGCGCGCGCCAGAGGGTGATCGCTCAGGGAGGCAGTGCAGAATGGGGTGAGAGAAGCTTGTAAGTCAGTTGGCCTCGTAATCCGTTCAATTCAATCGGTCTCCCCGTTCTTTTGAATGCACAGCCAGCTCATGGGAAGTATGACGACTCATGATTGCCCCTATTAGCCGCATCGTCAGATACAGTACTATATATCGTCGCCGAGTTTGTAACATTGCCCGGGATTTATAAGCACCCACGCCAAGAGGAAGATACAGTTGAGGCGCCGGCAATGCAGTACTGGTTCCTACAGATACACCGCTATTAGAGGTGTGAACATGTTAGTACCCGACGAAATGAATGATCGTCGAGAAGAGTGATATAAGCGAGATGCGCATGAATTATATCTTGTCGAGCTCTAGATCGTGAGCCAAGGGTTAGGTCGGTGTGCAAGCTGCGCACCTGGGGATCTGAGCGTGCCACGTAGATAGAGGGTCCGCTCACGCGGACCTATGCTCAATGCCATCGTCGTTCACCACATATCTTGCCGGTCAGCGGCGCCGATCAGGCCTCCTTCTAGCGCGTCCTCAGCAGATGGTAGAGGAGAGTGCGAGGGGAAATGTAGTCAAACTTGGACAAGTGTTCGCCGGCCAGGTAAGAGCATGGCTTGTATATGAATTTGTGATTGCACATAAATGGGAAACTAACCAGCGGGGTGGAACAGGCTGAGGTCAGATATTGACCCATGACTGTAGTGGACGTTTGCGGACGCTGGACAGGTGCGAGAAAACATACCTGGAGCAGGACAAGGTTCTGAGGTCCCCGTGGTGGGCGACCTATCGGGACGATCTAGCCGATCTGTGATCCGTCGTCTGAGACTTGAGTGAGCATACTCAGCGGGGTCGACCAATCGACAGAAGAAGCGCCCGGGTCCGGGCTGGTGATGTCAGAGGGCTGAGACAGAATTCGTCGCACCAGTACAGGACGGCTACTTTGATGTGTGTCGGGGTGTCTTGGGTAGGTGGTCGCCATCCGGATAGGGACAGTCATGATACAAGTCCAGTGCGGGAAGTGATAGTCCTATTCAGGCTCATTTTGACCCCGTCGAACACCAGTTCAGGTTAACACTCAGCAAGTGGGGTGATGAAGGCCGACCTTTTCTCGCTCTAGAAACACTGATATCCTTACCATGTATCAAGGCGATCTGTGCGATCGGACATTCTAGACGCAAGAAACGTTAGAGAGTTCAGTCGAGCACGTGAGCAGATATGTGTAGGGGTTCTGGCGAGAGCTCCGGTGTGGGTCCGCCGCCGGGATGTCGACCAGCAGGTGTCTATCAGAGTGCGGATGCCAAATGCAATACATGCGATCACAGTGAGGCAAAGAGCAGAGAGGTTGTCAAGGGCTGCATATGTCCGCACAGAAGAGCTAGGAAGTCGACAGGTTGTATTCGTAGAAACCCTGATATATGTAGATAGGCACGAGAAGAAAGAGTGGCGTACTTCATGGATCGTCCTGATCCTGCCACATCGCCGGACGTGGTCTCGCACAGCAAATGCCTGACAGGCTAACCCATGCCCAATCCACGCTGTACGCCATCACTCTAGTCAAGAAGCGCTCTCTCAAGAAAGTGAAGAGAGGAGACCGGCGACCCTCGAGATGTTGGCTGACTACGCGTGTGTGAGTCAGCACATTGTATAGAATTGTGGGCGCCCTTAGGACGGTGATGTTGTACGCATTGATTTCGGGTCGCCTTGCAGGAAGCTGATAGCGTTGCAGCTCCTGTGATCAAGGATCACATATTCGTGAGTAACTCAGGCTGCGATGGCGTCGTTCCAATTGGCGCCCAGATCGATGGCCCAGTCGTCCACGGCAACATGGTCTGGTGAATCCTCCTTGCTTCGTAATAGATGCAGTCGCAACTCCTTGCACCTGCCTGTGCAAGGATGGCCAGCATGCCGTGTTGCGGCATGGAAGCCGATGAGACACAGTCTTCCATCCGCGTTTTGCAAAATGTTGCGCTCAGCAACGTCGTTGTGTTCTATGCTGAGGTGTATACGGCGCAAGAGACTGCCAATATCGTGCCTACGAGAAGGCGAGCTCAGTAAATTAGCATTGGAAGATGACAGAGACCATACCAGTGTGATTTCATGTCCGGGATGGGTTGGCCCTCATACGACAGCAGAAGGAGTGACTTCTTCTGGCCCTCGAAGAGCCCCATAAACGATGGCACCGCCCGACCCCACTCCGCCTGAAGAGGCATGTAAATCTCTGCCTCATGGCATAGCGCCTCTCGCTTTTCTTCCTGATGATTGGAGACAATCTTGGCTACGATAGGCCGGCCATTGTACTCTCCACGGTAAGCATCGGCTACCAAACCGGCACCAATCTTTCTTGTGAGGCTCACGTGATCTCCATTCTTCATGGAAGGGTGCCAGCCCACAATGGAGCGCGCGTCGTAAGTGTTGCTGTTCCGCTCAACGATTCGGACCATGGGAGATCGCCCGTTGTCTGGGATACTAGAAGCTGGAGACGGGGTAGAGCTGACACTGACAGTGTCATGCAGAGGGGATCGGACGGAGGGAGGCGACTGTGAGCTGGCCGTGCGGGTGCTGGATGTCGGTTTCGAAGATTTTCTTGTCTTGGAACCCCCCTTGGAGGCAGGGGGACTCTTGGAAGAAGGGCCCGCTTCTGGCGGCGGGGAGGCACCAAACATCGATACGATCGGTTTAAGCGTCTCCACGATGCATTCCAGCAAAGGGGGTGGTATTCGAGTCCGCTCTATGCTTGATGTCTCGCTGAAAGCATGCTCGGTTGCTAGCCTGAGCAGTTGAAGGCCGAGGATTCCAAGCGCCTGTTGATCGGTCTGTCCAATAAACTCCATAAGATACCGTTGTTGATTTGATGCACGGACATGACCTACGTGATATTCGTCTCCGATTGCCATGGACTTGCTTGAAAGAGGTACGCCCACATCTGGAGGTACATTGTCAGAGTCGACTTACTTCGACTGGACACATAAACACATACTTGTATCATGCCAAATTCCTAGGACGTCAGCGTCGTGGGGGGACCAGTCGGGTCATCGATCCGGCGAAACTTGGTCTTGGGGCCGCTGTGCGACGGTCCATGTGCCAGGGGATACCGAAACAACATCCAGGGGGTGTAGCTTCCCCACCAGGAATGCGCTGGATCCATCGGGGTTTCTCCAAGTTCCAAGCATTCTGTGAGTCTTCGATGATACTTTGCAAAACCGGATCCCTCTCAACTTCCCCGGCAAAAACGGGTCACAAGGATGGACGGGAGATGACTACTCGGTCGCAGGAGCCGCCCTTGATCGTAAACTCGGGTTCCGTTCCGTACGCACAACGCGTAAGAAGGGCAAGAATGTGGCTGGACGGCTCGAGAAAATAGCGATCCACATAGGCTTCGGTCGCGGCCTCCCGTGAGCCCACCATGGGAAAGTGCACTCGCCGAGCCCAGATCGAGTCGATTGGAAGCAATTTTTCTAGGCTGGGATGAGGGAGCCGATTGCTGTCCACGAAGTCTAGTATTGTTTTGGCCATAGCCGGGAGCTTGTTGAGCGGTGTCCATTTTTCGATGCTGGTCAAGGGATATGCCGTAGCCAACTCGGTAATGCTCGGTTTCCGGGTGTTCGGCGAAGGGGTAGATATGCCGGAAGATCCAGGGTCTAGCGGCGGAAAGGGACCGCTCAGAAGGCCAGCGAGGGTGTCGGGTGTTGGCTGATCATCCAAGAACATAGGCGAGCGGTCCAGAGGGATCTGGCCAGAGATCGACCGTCTCGTTGTCCCGCCATGTAAGAGCCGTATGATGGGTGAATTCTTTGGAGAATATCCAAGGGAAAAACGCAAGTTGCTGAAGGCATGTACAGGAGCGGTCCGCATTCTGGATGGTGGTTTGACCATGGAGGTCAGGTCGAAGGACTCGGGAGAGGGGAACGCGGAAGCAAATGCACGTGCGCCTCTGGAAGGAGGATGACTTGGCCGATTCTACTGGTTACATTCGTCGCTACTGACTGCTAAAGGCGTCGCTCGAGCACCTACCTTTTCTCGCTCTAGAAACACTGATATCCTTACCATCGATCAAGGCGATCTGTGCGATCGGTCATTCTAGACGCAAGAAGCGTTAGAGAGTTGAATCGAACAGGTGAGCAGATATGGACAGGGGTTCTGGAGAGGGTGTAGATCGCAGAGCACAGATCGCACAGCGTAGAACGTACGAAACTTGACTGCGGGATGCGTGAGAGCTGCAACGCCAGAGATACAGAACACGTGACATGTGCCTAGGCAGGCAGGGAAACGGCGATTTGAGGATTGGTCTAGACTTGAGTGAGAATCCTGGATAGGATAGAGCGGCTCAGCGGGCGTAGAGCTCTGGCTGATTGGGATGAGAGAGGATTGAGATAGGTAGCATAGGTCCGATGCGGTGTGGCAGCAAGCTTGAGAGTGAGCAGAACTGGAACGACTTCCCTTCAAGCCTAGTCGTGATCAATCCCGGTGTCTGCAGAGACGCCTGTCTTTGTTCGATCATCCCAACATCGAGTCTCCTCCGTTCTGAGTCGGTCTGACGGTCGCCTCATAGTCATATATCAAGCAAGATCGGTTCGGCTTTGACGTGAAGCTCATTGGTCCGTCAAGAGGTATGTAGTCGCGAACTGGGAGCCGAGCTCCGGTGTAGGTCCGGCTGCCGGGATGTGGACCGGATGTCTATCAGAGTGCGGATGTCAAGTGCAATACATGCGACCACAGTCAGGCAAAAAGCAGAGAGGTCGTCAAGGGCTGCATAGGTCCACGCAGAAGAGCTAGGAAGTCGACAAGCTATATTCGTAGAAACCCTGATATAGATAGTGGCGTACTTCATGGATCGTCCTGATCCTGCCACTCACTCGGACGTGGAGGAAATCCCTGACAGGCTAACCATGCCCAATCCACGCTGTACGCCATCCCTCTAGATAAGAAGCGCTCTGTCAAGAAAGTGAAGAGAAGGAGAGGCCGGCGACCCTTACCCCGCTCACGTCACTCTAAAGATGTTGGCTGACTGCGCCTGTATGAGTCAGCACGTTGTATAGACTTGGGCGCCTTTGGACGGTGATGTCGGTCACTGAGTGAATACAATACTTGGACTGGACGACGTTGAGGCATCCCACGCTCTGACGGCGGTGAGCAGTATAAAGACTCTGGGAAGATTGGCACTAGTCTTGCTTGATACTTTGAACACTGGGATTGACTTGATTGCTGCTATTACTTGCGGGAGGCATCGACGCGTCAACTTGAGCAGAACGACAACATCAGCATCGACATCGACATCCACAATACACCATGGCCACCCCAGCACCCCCAAGTCCAGATCCCTCCAAGCCCTCCCCCTCCCCCTCCACGCCCCCCAAAGTCCCCTTCCTCGACCGCTACCTACCCGACTACCTCGCCCACGCACTCCGTTCCCCCAGGAGCTGGAAGACGTTTGCACGCTGTCTTGTCGTCTTCATCGTTATGATGGTGCTCCTAGTCGATGAGGTCTCCTTGCGCGCTATGGGACAAGCGGGGTTCTTCGGGCTTATACTATCGGTCATGTTGCCGCCTAACGTGCGCCCCGAAGTGCAATGCGAAGTGCGGGAATGTGCTGATAGTGCGCGCGTAGATGGCAGTGGGGCTGTTCATAATGGCTTCTTTTACCCTGTTGCTGGGAATGCTGCTCGGATGGGCCTGGGGCTGCGCAGCCATGGCCGCCTCTCTAGCCTGTACGTCCCCCACCCACCCTCTCCCCCATCTCTCCCCCTCCCTTCCCCTTCCCACTTCCCCACTAACCCCCCTCAGCCCGCTCCCAAACCCTCCTCGCATCCCAGTACACCACCGCCCAGTCCCTCCTAGTACCCAACGTCGCCCCCGACGCACAATATCAAGCCTTCGTCTTCCTCGGGCTCTTCCTCGACCCAGGCGCAAGCGCGGTATTCGGCGTCTTCTTCTTCTTTGGCACGTTTGCGCTTGCCCTGATGAGGGCGTACGTGCCCCGGTTCACACTGGTAGCGATCTTCGGGACGATCGTGCTCGGTGCGCCTGCCCTCTTCCTGTAACACTGGGGTTGTACATCGCTGACAACGGTTCGGGGGGAAGACGTGATGTGCTCCTATGGCCCCCTTTTCCCCTCAGAACAGTATACACTTGCCGTACGCCCCCTCCCCCCTCCCATCACCCGACTCCCAGCTAATACCTCTTCACGGCAGAGCCTATTCCTCCTCCCAACATCCATCTACGTCGCCGTAGCCCTGTGTAGCATACTCCTCATTTTCCCAGAGTCGATGAATCATGTTTGGCTGTACGTCCCTGCTCCCACTCCCCCTTCCCTGCCTCCCACTCCTCCAAGCCCCCTCCCAGCCCAATGATACTAACCCTAACGCAGATCAACACTCACAGACCAGATCCTCTCTCCAGGTCTAACGATCCTCACCTGCCAATCCCACCTGCTCTCCCTCCGCCCGTCCGACCCCTCCTGGTCCCAAACGCGTACTTCCACAGGTCTCCTAGGAAGGAAGATGATCGAGTCTGCCCAGCAGTTGCTAGGGCAGACTGGGATGGCTGAGCTCGAGGTGTCGAGGGGACGGTTGGGGCCGGGGGACCTGAAGGTCTTGGCGGGCAAGTTGATGGGGTTGGGAAGTAGGACGCTGTGAGTCTTTCTTTGGATTTTTGGCGCTGGGTTTGCGGCTGGGGCTGGGGTTGGTGCTGGGCTCGGGTTGGGATGGCCCTGGTGCTGCCTGTTGGGCTGGTGCTGGTGTTGCTGCTAGAACAAAGGGATGGTGCTGGGGATCGGACGTGCTACCGGGGCTTGAGCTGATGAGTTTCTTAGCGGGATGATGAGCTTCGGGTTCCTGGTTGACGAAGTGACCAAGTCCGACCCCAACTCAGGGGACGCAAACGGGCAGGAACACGATACCTCCTCCAGCGAACCCCAGCCCGAGCCCAAGCAGGAAGCGTCCACAACACTCCAAGTCCCCCGACCCAATCCCAATCCCAAGTCCAGGTCCAAACGCACAAGTCCGAACACCTCCCTCCCCGGGACAGGCGCCGTCACCCCCCTCTCGGCGGCGAGGTTTGACGCTCTCCGGGCCAAGGTCATGCGGCGTGAGAAAGACCATGGGCATGATTTGGACAACTTGGTACCGCTCTTACTCGATGCGTCTGGAGAACTGTTGGCTGCTTGTGAGAGGGCGCTCAAGGGGCGGATCGACTGGCTTACGTGGGTCTTCCCCCTTCCCCGGGAAGTGGAAGTGGACATGGTGCTGACTTGAATCTCGGATAGGTACGTCAATTCCACCCGTTGGAGGGGCAGCAAGTCCCTCAAAGAAGAGGAAGCGATGTACGACTCCGGCAAGCTTGAGGCGGAAGCGGTGCGCACCGCGCTCGCAGGACTTCGCAGCGACACCCGAATGCGCATCCTCGAGCCTTTTGAGCGGTTCTTCGACCCTGCCACTGGCGAGCTCCTCCCCGAGCTCAAGCGGAGCGCCTCCGAACGGATGTTCGCTACTCACTCCCTCTTCCTCTGTTTTGTATTCGGCACGACGCTCAAGGCGTACGCGGAGATCCTGCTCGATTTCACGGATGCGACTCTCGAGCTGCAGAGGAAGCGCATGCGGAATCGGATCTGGTTTCCGAGCGGGTTTGGCAGGATTGGGAGGAGGATATTCGCTCGCCAGGGAACGGAGGGCACGGGCTTGGAGATCGGGGTTTCCCCTGTCGTGGCTAGCACCGAGGAGGAAGACACGACTGAGGAGGTCAATAGCGTCGCGGATACGGAGGAGGAGGACGAGGACGAGGAGCTGATCCGCGTGCCCAAGCCTGCTCCTCGGGATCCCGACAGCAGCCCGCCTCGCACCTTCCTCGGCAGGACCTACGTCCGCCTCACCTCCGTCTTCCGCTGGTTTATGCGTCCTCAAGCGCTCTTCGCCCTCCGCTACTCGATCGTCTCCATCTGCTTCTTCGCCTTCGCAGTCCATCCCATTACCGTCTACTTCAACTACGCCAACCGGGGCCTATGGGCACTCATCATGGCCCAAACCGGGCTGGGCGTCTACGCAGGGGAACAGATAGCGAGCTTTATCATCCGTCTCTCCGGGACGATCCTCGGGCTCCTCCTGGGCATGGTAGCATGGTACATCGGCGCTGCGAGAGGGGACGGAAACCCCTACGGCATCGTCATCATGACGAGCGCGATCATCGCTCCACTCATATTCATCCGTGTCACCGGCCCTCCGCAGTCGGTCGTCATCTGGCTCATGACGGGTACGATGATCGTCTTTGCAGTCGGGTACAGCTGGGTCGATTCACATATCCCCGTTCTGCAGAACGCGGGTGTAGGCGTCTTCCTCGCCTGGCGCCGGGCGTTTCTCGTCATCATAGGCTTCGCATGTGCATTCGTTGTCATGGTCATCCCCTACCCGACCTCTGCGCGTCAGGTCGTGCGCAAGACTCTGGCGGGGACGATGGAGGAGCTCGGAACGCTGCTCAGTGTCGAACTGGATGCGTGTATCCAGAGCACGCATGATACCCAGACGCACTGGACGAAGATGAAGGATAAGGGGATCAAGATCATCGGTAGTCGGATATTGAAGATCTCTCAGCAGCTGCAGAGTATCCTTCCGAGTATGGGGGCAGCGAAGTTTGAGCCGACTTTCAAGTGCGTATTGTGTTGATCGTGCTGGGGGGTATTGACAGTTCCGCAGGGGCCCCTGGCCAGCGGAGAAGTATGAGAAGCTATTCCGCGCTCAGTGAGTCATGTGCGACGGGGGATTTTCATGGTTTGACTGGTCACTAGATGGACGGTCATGCAGTCCATCGCACTGCTGAACGCCGCCATGTCCAATCTAGACATCTCATGGCTACACACGCTCATTCACAAGACCCCATTCTTCAATCCCAACTTTGTGCGCATCCACCCTTCTTGGGGTATCATCTCCTCACACGCTTGTTCAGATGCAAGATGTCAACGCAACAATCTACATCGTCGCCCGTTCCCTGAGACACGGCTACCCCGTACCAGCAAGTCTCACTCCCCTCCGCGAACGTCTGATCTATCACGATCGTCACGCCACAATTCTAGGTGGTCGGGAACATGTCCAATCAGAAGTCCTTTCAGAGGAACTGGACGCCTCTCCAGGTCGGGTAGAAGGCGCCAGCATCGGCCTACGGTCGATGACACTCAGCACGCTCAAAGTGCGCACCCTCTCTCCCTCTCCCTTCTTGAGCAGCGCTGACCCCAAACAAAGGACGAACAACTCGTCTTCCACTCCACGGCTATCGTTGGGCTTGCCCAGCTCATCAGGACAGTAGACGAAATAACAGATATCGTCCGAGAACTGTGTGGTACGACTCAGGTCTACCCGGGCATAGACGTGATGCGAGACGGTGCGTTCCTTTTTTTTTTGTATACTGGACTGGCATGTGTTGACTCTTGGATCGGATCGGTAGAGTATCTTGGGATGGAGGAGGCGGCGATTCGGAGGATGGAGAAACGATGAGTACGAGAGAGCTTGCTCCTATGTCTACACTACATGTACTTCAAATACCCAGGAGGAGAGTAATAAACAGTGACATACCCAACCCTGGAACGAATCGGGCTCCAAGACATCTTAGGTTCAACAACCACAACGAGGACGAGTGAATATGCACGCCATTCTAATTTTTTCGCTCCTCCCCGAGCTCGAGCAGAGAAGACATATTCGCTACAACAGGGCATAACTACGTACTGTTTATCGTACCACCGAACCACGTACCACGTACCACGACCATACCATACCGTGCCATGCCGGGCCGCACCGAGCCGGCCGGCCGGCCGGCCAGCGGGGGAAACCCTCTCCTGGCGATTTTTTACAACCCTACCCATGCCCGTGCGACCGTGCTAGGGTAAACCGTACGACATAAGAACGTAAGAACGTGAACGCGTAAGAGGAAGAGGAAGGAGAGGGGGGTACGATAAACCGGGGGAACAGATTGGAAGAGGAATAGAACTAGAACTAAAGGGGATAGGAAAAATGGGGAATAGACTGAAAATAAAGTCGAGTAGAAATGAGGTGTGGAAGTGGGGTGGTAACCGAGCGAACAATGAGCGAGATAAGAAGGAAAGAGGAAAGATCGCCCAGAAGACGTCCAGCGTGTGTGGGTATTCCGTTCGTCCGTTCGTTTGTTCGTTTTTTTTTTTACAATTCGCCGGTCTCTGCCCTGGGTTGCCCATGTCGGTTGACGGCGACCGGGCGCGGAAGGGGAAATAATAGACGGGAATGGGGATAATGTCCTTCGGGATCGTGGAGGGATCGGAATTGTTGGGATGGGACGGAGAGCCGGGGGGGAGATCGAGCCGAAGAACCAGAACGAACCGAGAGCTGAAAGATCAGAAAAAGAGCTGGAAGAGAAACGAGATATAGAGCTGGGAATAGGACTGCGACTGAGACTGGGACTATAAGCCTGATAAACCTGGAGACCTTGACGAGTTAGGTACGAATAAACGGCGCCGGTATTCAGAATTCGGGGATTTGTGCTGTGGAGTTTGTGGGATTTGAGGTTGCGGAATTGCGGCTTGCGGGAGAGTGGGTCAGAGGGTGAACGGGGTCGTACCTGCCGTTTCGAGTTCCTTGGTAAGACGTGGAGCGGAATGTAGGAGGGCGAATTGTGCATGTGCGAAGCAAGTGTATGGCATTGCGAGATGTTCCACGTCGAACGAAAAATAAGCCGGGACACGTTCTTTGAGCCGTGTTTCGACCCCTCGACCCCTGCAAACCAACCTTCGCGGTTACTTTGGGGGCATACTCTGTGCCCTTCCATACCCCTGCGTCCCCTGTATCACCCCCTGTGCCGGGTTACCCCTCCCTACCCCACCGCCGGAAGCGGCGCCCGAGCCCGAGGATGGAGCCGGCGGTGGGCCGGCTTTGGTCGACCCGCGAGGAGGGCCGGCGATGCTACTTGCTGGAGTACGAAGGGTAGATGTCGTCGCTGTTGGCGTTGAGATGCTATCGGACCAGTCAGAGGGAAATCAAAAGGCAGATATATGCATATATGCGCGCACCTCTCTTCGTCATCCTCGTCGTCTTCATCGGCTGTTGCGCTCCTCCCACTACTCCTACCACTCCCGTTACTTCCTCCACTACCCTGCGTGCGCCTCCTCCCCACCTGGCGTTCCTCGAATATGCACTCCTCTCCCGCTCTCTCACACCGCTCGCATTTCATCCCCGGCTCACCAGGGGCGAACCCGAGTCCACCAGCAGCAGAACAGCGGACCTTCCTCTGACGGCATTTCTTGCACGCACGGGCGTTGCGTGCTGGACCGAACTGGTTGGGAGGTGCGAAGTAAATGGTTGTGTATGGGTGGGAGGGGAGGTAGTAAGGTCCATCGAGGGGCAAGCCGGGGGGGAAGGCTTGAACATTTGCGGACGCACCAGTAGAGGTGTTGGGCGAAGGAGGGAGCGGGCTCGTGTATGTTACTGACGGGAAGGGGAGGGGGTTAGTGCCGGGGGGCATCTGTCCCGCGTGAGGGGGGATCTGGGATACCATGTGCCCCTGTGGCGAGACCTGAGAATGGGAAGGTGCTGTGGGAGGACGAGAGCCACCGCTACTGGGAGGAGTGTACATCGGGCCTCCCTGAACAGGACGTGGCTGCTGCTGCGGCTGAGAATACGCATATGCGGGCGAGTCTGTCCGCCTCGGCGGATTAGGCCAGGGCGGACTCGGCGGACCAGGGATCTTGGTATAGTCCGGTGCCTGCGCATGTGGACGATGCGGCTCGGGCGGCATCTGATCCCGCGGCATGCCCCGTATGAGCTCGTCAATGCCTGGGAGGACTGTGCTGTTTGCCGGTGGACGGGTTGGGGGGCGATAGTACCCTGTTTGAGGAGGGGAGGGCATGCTTGTTGCTTGTGGGTTGGGGCGGATGGGAAGGGGGTGTGAGTGGGAGGAGGAGGGACGGTATGACTGGGACATGCGTTGCGCGTTCGTTGCGTGTGGGAGAAGCGGGAAGTTGATATCTGCAGGGAGATAGTCAGCAAAAAGGAGAGGAAGGACGGTTTTATACCCACCTGGTGGAATGTATGCGCCTGAGAAGGGGGGTAGGGGCACGTGTTCCGTTCTTGGGGGGAGGGGTTATATACCCCTGCTTGGTGCTTCTCCGCTTATAGTGTTCCTAGGAGCGGGGATAGGTAGATGTGGATAGGCGGTGCTTGCTAGCTCGTGACTGTGCTGGGTGTTGAGGAGGGGGGGGGAGAACGAGGATGAAAGGGGTAACAAGTTCGTTGCTAGCAGGTATTATAAAAGGAGGAGGAGGGGAGATGGTGGTGGTAGTAAAGAAGGAGAGGGAGGGGAAAAGAAGAGGGGGTTCGAGGTTGAGCAGGGCGTGACACGTGTTGTGGTGAGGGTGAGCCATGCCATCCCCCGTGTTCCGTTCCGTCCGGCTGGCCCTCATTTCCTTGTCTCTTTTTCACCTGCTCGACAGATCGGGCTCAACAACACTCTCTTTGGCACCGCATGCGCTGGCACTCTTCAGGGGTCTCTGTCTTACGCACTGGAATGAATAACGGCACACAACAGGCTGACAACTTCCCCTCCTCCTACACCTCCCCTCCCTTCCCTCCTCTTTCTAATTCGGTTCTTCCTCCGTTTACCTTCAACAAACTAGTCTTGCCACTTACTGCAACGGCAGACCCCAAACACTCAATTTAACCTCTCACCGCCTCTCTACCTCTCCCTCGCGCCACAGCAGTGAACCCAATCCTCATTAGCCTGTCCGTAGCACATGCATAATATCACCAGCTCCGTCCGGGGTACAAGCCACAGCTCTGATCGCCCTGGATCATTACCAGCCTAGCTTCTCCTGTCCCAAAAACCAGCGATTAAAAGAGGGGCGGAGCCCGAGCGCTAGATCGGGATACGCGGGTGGATGCCGTGCTGCAAGTGGATGGGCTCACCTAGCGCGCCCCTAAACGCAGGACCCCAGGAGGGCGCAACACGCGCTGGGTGCATGTCCCGTCCTGCTGATGTTGGCGTGTTCCGTCCGGGACCCGCTCAGCCTCTCGGGGCGATTAAGGGCGAGGCGAGACGAGATTCGAGCGGCTGGCCCACGTACCGGAGATAAAAGGGTCTACCGCCGACTTACAGGAGAAAGGGAAGCGAACAGGAAGAAGCTGGAGAGAAGCTGGGTTGGGTCTGACGAGTCCACCTCGGGACCCGCCCCGATTTAGCTAGCGTTTGTCTCTTGTCCATTCCATAGAGCTGCGGGAGGACAAAGCCGGCGATTGGCGGCTCCGAACGGACGTTGCTATCCACCAAGCCAAGCTGCCAAGGTGCTAACCAACACCGGAAAGCGGCAGTTTCTCCCCAAATGAAATTGAGACATCTTCCCTCCCCGTATCATCTATTTCACCGTCCCCATCACCGCCTTCTCCGAAACCTACTATCACGACTTCTCTTCGGTGGCTAGAGGAAGCTTCTCAGCCGGCGACCGTTAAGTCTGAATTCTACTATCGCCGCTCCTCGGTATAAGCGGACTTCTCCTTACGCAAAGCACTACAGCAGTGTCACGCTACTTCCAATATTGTCTCATAACAGTGCCATATATCATACCTACCGTTGACATCACCCCGAGGTACCGCATTACACTCCGCCGCTGACAGCCCGATCCCGGCTCCGGTCCCTGATCTGCCGTCGGCCCCGCCATACCGACCCTCCGACCGATGGACCGAACTCTGTCATCCCCAATACAAATACGCCTTGCTCTGAGGTGGACAGCGGGAGCAGCGGTGCGCGTCGGTCGACCGAGGGGTTGTCTTTCCCTGGCACGCAGACTGAATACCTGAGTCTAACGCGCACAGTGCCATTAGCCAAACGTATCAATACGATCAGTGCTATCTACAGGATCAGTACGATCCGTGATAAATAAGATCAACGAGGCTTTTCATCCGACGTCGCACCTGGCCTAATACAGCCAGCGGCTAGCTTCTGGCGCAACGGTCCAGATGCACCTAGGCACGGTCCAGCCTGTGCACTCCCGTCCTGCCCGGGGCGTATACGTAGCTCCTTTCATACTGCACTTCTCTTGCAATATTGGACAATGTATACGTATACATTGGACAACGCTCGGCACAGCAACATATTTAGTATCCTCTCTTTCAGCCCCAGAAACGGGGATCCTTCTGCCAAATTCGCCCGATCCGGTACACAGTCAGAATTTTCCTTTCTGCCAACTCGGCAGCTCAGCGTTCATCTCAAAACAGGAAAGTCCGATCCCAGATACGTACCGATTGGAGATCATACTCTGTAAACACGGAAAGAAACTTCAACCCGCGGTTGTAGCTCTTGTACTCTGTCCACATTTGTCATCTACTTGCTCCTCACTTTTCTATCCCTGAAGCTTACAATCCACGTCGACCGACTCGCCACAGTTGTCCAGCTCCGTATATCAGCATGAGGTGGACATTACGGAAACCCAGATCTGCACTTCAGCTCCATATAGCCATATTCAGGGCAAGATAGTACATTGTACACCTGGACGTCCAGGAGATCCCTCTCCTGCCAATCCGCGCTTTCGCAATACACACTAGCACAAGCCAACCCAGCCCTCTGGCCACCCCAGCCTGCCACCCAGGCCTGTCCATCCCCTCGGCGCGACCCCACCTCTCGAGGCATGCCTCCCGTGCAGAACTCCCCCAAAGTACGTACTTATCCTGTCCACCCCACGGGAGAGGCGAGTCGGGTCGGCGGAGGGTGTTCCACCCCCTGGGTTGGGACATGACTCGGAACCCTGGGTGCCAACCCCGGACAGACAGGTGTCAGACTAGAATCCCCCTTGTCTAGCCAATCTAGCTAATCCAGCCAATCCAGTACCCTCCACCGAGACATCATCAGGGACGAACGGCGGGACCGACTGCAACTTTGACTTACTGTCCAGCGTGCAGGGCACACTGCCGCAGAAGGACAAGTCACGCGCCTCTGCTTTCGAGCCGGCTTATAGTGTTCTTGCTCCTGGATGCGAAACGTGGAACAAGGGATAAGCGAAGAAACGTTTTGCGTTTTACGTTGCCTCTCGTCCCCCTTCCGTGGTTGGGCTTCTGCCGTTCGGCAAACCCGCATGCATATGCATGACAGGAACTGTCTTTTTCTGAATAGCCCATTTGGGCGTAATCTTGAGACTTGGTCCCGCGTATTTCTTGTCAATTGTTCGTCCTTTGGGAATGTCTTACCCAGCTGTTGGGGCTAGCAACGCCCAGATGGCGGACCGTTCAGGACGCTGTCTGTATCAGCCATCATCTTCGTCCATGACAACGCATGCATGCGCGCGTGTGTGCGCCAGTCCGCCTGCAGCTTTCCTCGGTCCCCGTACGCGTATCAAAGGACAGCCTTATGTTCCTGTACAAGCAGGAGGTTTCTCACACTAGCGAATTCCGAATGCAGCCCGTTGTCCGCATTTGAAGAAGCACGGGCCCCCGCAAGCACACGCCCAGCAGCCGACCGAAAGATAACGAATACTAGCCAACAGGGATCGTACGCTTCTTGTCTGATAAACTTGGTTTCACTTTTCCTTTCCTGCTGGGTCTTGCGATATCCTGTGCATCGGCAACGACTGCGTCATGAGGTGATGCCCGCCCGATGCAGATTGTGTTCCGGGAGGAAATGCCCTCGGCCCGCGCATTTTGCCTAATTGCCTCTGATCCTGTGTAGATATCATGCTGCTCGGTGATGAGATGTACCTGGTACCCGAATGCTGGTCGGATGTGGTTTATTTGACCGCATAATGGATGCTCCTGCGGAGTGGAATGTCCCTAGCAACGCCCCTAAAGAGGATGACACGATTGCTGCATAGATTCTGGCAGTTTTCTAGCGTCTCTAACAACGAGCATGATTCGAGGCTGACCAGGCGAGTTGTGAAATCTCTTGCTCAATGTCTGGTGCCGGTTATCAGTAGTGGTGCCATTCACCTCGGCTAGAACTTGAACCGATGAAGTTGTCTCGTAGGGCCGAAACAAATCTCATTGCTAATACTGTGAGCCTCGTATGACCGCACATCGAATTGATCAATCGAGGGGGTGTCTTGATTCACAGAGAAAAACTGAAGTGAAGCTTCCCTGTTTGAACGCCGTTCCTTTATAAGGGGAATATTCGTCCGTCTTCTCTTCTGAACGACGCATGATCGGGAACATTGTTCCACAGACTCGGATCCGAGTTACATACTCTAACTCCTCGGGTGAAAACTTACCACATCCTTTATCAACACTTCACCCCTGTTACGTGAAACCCTGTTTAGAAAACTGGTCTGCCTGCCTGAAGGGGCAATACTTCCCTCCCCCAGCTGACTGCGCCTCTATGCGCTTCTGTCAGCTGGACATCGAGCACGCCGCGCCTCGTGTTTCGTCGTGCCCGGTGGAATTCTCGGTATTACTGCCGAGGAAGATCCGTTCGAATTTTTTTCGGTCACGCCCGGCCCGCCAACATGGACAAAACGTCACCTAATCACGTACTTTACCGAGCGGAGTTAACAAAGTCAAACCCCGACTTAGAGTTTACAGACTCATCTCGATCAAGTCGGATCCTGGTGTTCAGGTGGTCTCTGAATTTGCAGACTCATCTTGATCAAGTCGGATCTGTTGTTCAGTTGGTCTCAGCATGCCTGCTTATCCCCATGGTCTGCGCACCGGATGATCGATGTATCCAAGGACGGAACGGTAGCGATCACTCATGAAACATTGTCTCTCGGGCACCACAGGGATGCCGCCGGTACACTGTTTGCTGCTAAACTTATCTTAGAGTTAGTGACGCCATCTCAAAGACTCGCCGCATCTGCCCGCAATGAGTATACTCTGCAACACGAAGAGGTCAAACTATTTTAGGTTCACCAGCCATTGCTAGCGAGGCAAGACACTAGTATCGCCTAACTGTAAGCTCCGAGCTGAGCAACCGATCATCTGCTAGTCTTCTGACCCGGACACAATGGACAATGAATCACCTCTGGACCCTCTCTGTAAGGTCTCGACCTGGCGGGACAACTACACAGAGGAGCCTGGACTTGACTTTGTACAATCCAACTCCGCCAAATGATTTCACGCGGAGTAAGAAACTGCTTGTATGTCTTCTGATGCGGCGGGCGATATGGTGCGGCTGAATAATCCGGTCATGGTTATGGGATCATCTCAGTGATGAGTGATGCTCGAGACGAATACCATGACGCTGGGCTAGATCTTCTCACAAGCGAAGAGGTTCTGAAGTTCGGTATCGTGCGACTTTCATTGCTCAACGAGCACTTTTCCCATGGTATAGTCCGTTGTCGACCCATCACCAGCATGCGGTTATCCCCGTCGGCCCGACTCCCGCATGACAAAAGGAGAACCACCTAATGATGTGATATGTTACCATGACGTATGTTGCAACACTTTGGTAATTGGGCTGTGGCTACAACGATGCTCATTGTTCGCGGGCTGCGGATCGCCGGTATCGTTCCAACAAAGTCGTCAACGAATGACCGGGCCGGAGTGAACAACGGCTTCGTTGGGTAAGCCGAAGAGAACACACGGTAACGTTGACCATATCTCCGTTTTTAAGTCCATTTGACGGGTCGTTCTCTCCGATATGAAGAGAACAAAGGCGCTCGTGACGTAACATGGACCGGGCCGCTCGCTCGACGACGCACAATGGCGCGTTTGGCTGATCCGGAGCTCACTGTACCGACCGCCCGTCGCTGGTAAAGAGGCATGATCGTCAAGACTATTCAGCATGTGGACCAGACTACCGTTGGAAAAACGGAAATCAGGAAAAATAGAAGCCCCATGAAAAGCACCCTGCGGCAGAAGCAAGAAGCCGTACATTCGGGAAAGGACGACGCCGGCTTCGGACTGCGAAAACTGAAGAGGGGTAGAGACGTATACTCGGCGCCAAGGTGGAAAGCAGCGTCTAAGATGCGATGTGGGAGAATCATTCTTGGCCAGTGGGACATTGTTGACAAGAGGTTCGAGAACTTAGGCCTAGGAGGTCCCTCCCAGCTGACAAGGACGGGAATTTACGGGACACTCGACGAGCATCATCCGCAGGTGATTCAAGGAGAATCTTGGCGTTGGTTCGCTCTCCCGGAGTTCGCTGCATCACGAGGACGAAAGATCGTTCCAAACAGCACCGGTATTCACACAGCTGCTTGTTTTCCAGTCATGGAGCAGTCTCGCAGAACGAGGAGAGGGGCAAACGGGAACGCACTGTGCTGTAGTAGGGAGACTCCATCCAAACTGGCTCATTTGAGATAGCCATAGTCATTGTCGACGTCGGAATATGACTCGTTTGCATGCTTCTGAACCTTCTGGCTGATATTGACAGTCCGTACCTGTAAAACCAAGCCGTTCTCGTGCCAACTTCTCCTTGTGAGAGAGTTATGCTCATCCAACATAACCAGTGGTTGACTTTCCGAAGGCCCACGGAACAGTTTGTCCTCCCAAATCCACCGGTCTGTGCTTCCGTTCCGGAAGAGTGCTCGAGCGTGCCTGCGTTGTTCAGACATACCCATCGAGGCAGTATCGGCATTCGAACACGAGCTTCCAAGCGGTAAGACAACATCACTCTTACCCTCTCGTCCAGAATTGCTCCAAAACCAATTGTATCCTTGCCGTTCCCCTTCAGAAAGACCAAAAACAGCACCCTCCTGTTCAGCAAGAGTGCGAAGCCGAAGGGAGCCACCGCGAGAGCCGTTCAGCAAAGGAGCATTGCCCGGGGTTCGGCTTTCGTCAGTGTCGTGTCCGCCCAAATGGCATCCGGTGCTAGAAGCAACCAAACCGCCATTCTCCAGACAACGTCCTAGCACTCGTAGGCTGACCACCCTCTGAGAGATGGGCTAGAGCACCAGCCTATTGTCATCAGCCCCTCTCCAAGATCTTGCACGTTCAACGAGCTGGCCTCGGAAATGCCGGATAGTCGCGCACTTCGCACTTGCATATATGCATTGGACAATATACATTGCCATACGTCCCTAGATAGCGTGAATGCACCGAGTCCCATAGAAAAAGAGCGAACGAAATGCCCGAAGCGTATGCACATCTTCTCCTCTCTGAGATCCCAACCACTTCTCAACACGGTCCCAACGTCTATGCCCGATCCTAACTCATTCTCCTCCTCCCACATAACAGTGCCATACTCAGCAGTCTGAGCTTTCCTAAACCAACACCATCGCACCACCTCATGCTCTCCTGCTACTCTCGGGAATACGCTCAGGTCCCTCCTCCAGCCCCGGGGGAGAGGGCCGCTATTCCCAGCCCTTGCAGTTCCTTCCCTGCTCCTGTCCTTCCTGCTACTGATCCTCCAGCTCCAGCTCCTAGTCCAGCCAACGAATTACTCCCCGCAGAAAGCGAGCTCCAAAACGTGTCGTACGTCAGGACCTGCGCACCCACGCCCGCGCCCGCCAACGCAGACCTGGAATGTGCAGGTGAAGTGCTCAGTACAGAGGGGTACGAAGAGGCTGACGATGATCCGTGTGAGTGCTTGGTTGGGCTCGACGAACCCGGTGGTCGGGAGTGTGAATGGTGTGATGTACGAACAGGAGTGCTGGGTTCTGAAGGCTGACCACTGGGTGGACTGAGGATGCTGCCCCCGGGGAAAGCGCGCGTAGGGAGAGTTGGAGTGCGCGCTTGAGAGAGTGGGCCAAATGCGCCTGAGGAGATGGCGCCTTGTAGGGAATGCCATATCTCGGCTGGGAGATGGAGGGCTGTCAGGTCCAGAGGTTCTGTCGCTGACGGCTGGGTGTCCATGGGGCTTTGAAGAGGAAGAGACAGCTTGGATTGCTCTTTCTCTTGCTTTACTGCTGCTGCTGCTTGGAGGGAGGTGGTGGTGGGCAGCTTAGATCGTGTATGATGAAAATAGAGGTTTTCGACTTCGTTCAGCGTTTGTTTCGTCTGAGGAGGTTGGTAGTCATTAGCAAAATAAAAGATAAATATTATAGAAGGGGTGCGCACCCATCCATGCTCGACTTTTAATCGTGCGTATTGGAGTCTTGTTTGGAGTGTTCTTGCGAGCTGGTGGATGTTAGCGGTGCATGCATACATGCAGCAGGGGTCGGACGTACATGGTGATACCTCGCTCTGTCTGCTAATCGATTTCTTTTCAACTCATTTCCGTGCAATGTTGCAGTTGTCCTCGTAGGAGAAGTTGAGGTTGTCATGAGCAATAATACAGTAGAGTTGAAAAGTAGAGAAAAAGTAAAGAAAAGTGACAATGAATGACAATGAAATGATTCTCGCCACTCTCTTCACATGGCAGCGGAAGCAAATTAGCTTGTCTTTCTTTGTCACACGCCTTGTGCGCATACTCACTCACTTGCACTCTTACTTTAACTCTGTCCTTCTCCTCCTCCTCTTCCTCGACTCTGCCCCTGTACACTTTCTCCATATCCCCCAAGTAGTCACACCATGGTACGTCCTCTTATCCCTCTAAAGCATCTACCAACTCTTTCCAGTCCACCGCCTGCCGTCGCCGTCTCATCCGGGACTTCAAACGCCTCTCTACCGACCCACCATCGGGCGTGTCCGGTTCTCCCTGCCCAGACAACATCATGGTATGGAACGCGGTCATCTTCGGTCCATCCGACACGCCCTTCGAAGACGGCACCTTCAAGCTCACACTCACGTTCGACGAGAGCTACCCGAACAAGCCCCCGACTGTCAAATTCCTCAGCAGGATGTTCCATCCAAATGTGTACGCGACGGGCGAACTATGCCTCGACATCTTGCAGAATCGCTGGAGTCCGACATATGATGTTGCGGCGATCTTGACGAGTGTACAGAGCTTGCTGCATGATCCGAACCCGAACAGGTGCGTTCTTGGTACTGTCTCACGTGCACTGCCTGCTCCCCTTCCTACACTTTCACCCACTGACACGCCCTCCCTCATCCATTTCCATCCCATGTGCAATTCCTCATCCGCATACATTCCACTGCCTCCACTGCTTCCATGCTCTCATTCCCCGTGCGGAGCTAACCATCCCACAGTCCAGCAAACGCCGAAGCAGCCCAGCTCTACAGGGAGAACATGAAAGAATATGTCAGGAGGGTCAAGACGACCGTGGAGGAGAGTTGGATGGATGGGGTTGTGGAACAGGTGAAATAGTAGTGGTGTGTAGTGAAGGAAATGTGGGGTGGGAGGCGGGAGCGGGGGTTGTTGAGAGTGGAGAGTGAGGATAGGGACGGGATGCAGGATTGCGGATGGCGTAGGAGAGGAGAGGAGCGGAGGTAGAGGGTCGGGAGTGGGTGCTGTGTGCCAGGGGTCGGAGGTGTTGCTGGCCAGCAAGAGCAGGCAGAGGAACGAGCCGGGGCAGAACACGTCATTCGTGTGTGGAGCTCGAGTGCTGCACACTCTACGTGCAACCTGCGAGCTCAGTCGTGCATTATCTCTGCACCCAGCAGGAGAACTCTACCTCTTTCCCCAAACCGCAAGCGCTTCAAAACGATTTTTTCTGCTGTTCAACACCCCGGCTCTCGCACACCCTGGAGCTCTTTCCCTCTTTCTTTTATCACCGCACATGGTGCACATGTTTCATAACCAATCTTTCAGCTTCACTTGTTACTTGTTATTTTTCATTTTTCATTCTTCACTCTCCCTTCCTCTCTCTCAACTCCATTTCCCATTCTCTACCCTATAGTGTTGTACCATCCCACTCATCAAGTCGAGTTCAGTAACTTATCCTTTTGCATTCCTCAATGGAATTCAGTGCAGTACATCACAAACTCATCTTGTGTGGAATGCTGGGAGAACGGGTTGGGCCGTCTCAGCACAACTTAAGCTTCAGCCGGGTCTGTTGAAGCTTGTAGAGCGCTAGAACTTCGTGCAGTGTAGATTGTAGGTTTTTTCGCGTCGTTGTCGGGCCTGCCGCTATCTTCTAGTGTTCTGCAGCACGTCAGCCTCCCACGCGTATCGTCGATCGCACTTCTCTGAATACATGATCCTCCCGGCCAATCATGTGTGGCCATCTGGCTCACACTGACCGTCAACGTCGCCCGGCGTACTCGCCTTATCCACCGCCAAGCCAATCCTGACATGCCTCGGCGTCTTTACTGCTCGTTTCTCGGACGCATTAGCGCAACCTACCCAATACTTCTGGTCGGTAGATGGCTGGTACGATAGCTAGCTGGTCTTTGGTTGATCGGCATTCCCTCATCGTATCAGAGGGAACGCCAGATTGACACAACGGCAAGAGACTCCTGCGTGTCAGACCACCTTTAACACGACACGGACTGAGCCGGCGCTGTTAAAGCTCGGTTCCTCCCGTAAGAGTGGCAGATCATGTTGTCATCCATCCACGGAACTTGGTAACAACATGCTCGCTGGTTTGCAGGATGGCCGATCTCTTCGAGCACCCCCGAAATAGATGACTACGGCAGCGGTGCCCGTTCGTTCTGGGCAGTTAGTCGATCGATAGTCCGAGGTTGCCGCCGGATCAGCCTTTGCGGTCAGACCACCGATTATCCGAAACAGGACCGAAGGAGATTACAGTCGGTTCTGCCAAAGGTCGCTTTCTCCCCCGGAGCGGACGATGGTCCGATGCGTTGCGTGCCTATTCACCGAAAGATCAGGATGACCTCCAGACGAGGGCCAGCCTCTTCGAGCAGAAACAGCCCAAGTCGCTTTGCCCAAAGTTACTCGCTGGCGATTCACGCAGCGTATCGCGGCGTAGCAGATCGTTGTTGATGTCCGGCATCAGCCCACAGCCTGACCTATTTGACCGGTGGGTGGCTGAAAGACAAATCAGCTTGCGATGCAGCGCGTCTTGATGAGAAGGCTCAGTCACAAACCATGCCCGACTGGGTGAATCACCCGCTGAGCAGACGATGGCTCGAAGGGGACAGGGCCAAGGTTGAGCATATACCGTCAGATCAGTCAGTGTCCAGTAATAACAACCGGCGCCAACCCGGACTCAATCGGCACCGTCCGACACAAGCCAGCGCAAACAGAGCAGAAGTTCAAGCTCCGCTGATAAATATTCGAGCAAGCTGTGATAGCCGAGGATGCCGGGTTGAGTGATGGTCAAGAAAACGTAGAGTTTGGTGATGGATGACTAGCGAGAGCGCACGTTGGGCCAGACGGGAGATGGATGACGCAAGGAGAGCGTAAGTCAGAACCCTTTCCGACGGTGTTCTTCGATCTATTCGATCTGGAATAACAGTTTTGTAGCCGAGGCACGCCCATGCCTGGCTGTGCAAGTTCTTGGGACTCGAGCGTTGAGCCCAGGCTCCCAAAGCCTGTTATTGCACAAGGACCGGCGGTCGGAAGAACATAACACAGTGCCTCGGCGTACAATACCGGTTGAGCAAAGATGGGCGATGCCTACGTGTGACCCGGAGGATTGTGTGAATCGATAGCAAGAGACGTGCTGGAAAGCGGGAGAACTCAGAGTCCGGGAGGTCACCGATCGCGGCGGTGTGCTTGTCGCCTTTTAGAGCGTCGGATGTGCGCGCAAGGATCCGAGATGCATGTTCGAGTTTCCTGGTTTGGTAACGTCTGACACATCAAGGTACGGGATGCGAAAGAGTGGAAAGATTCTCCAAGCTTCTGAGAGTTAGCCTTCTTATCAGCCTAACGCGGACGTAAGCGCAGAGTCAGGGCGGTACGGTCCTTTTCGCGCGCTGGGATTTATCGAGAGGAACTGGGTATTGATGTGGCTAGAAGGGAAGACGGGTGCCTTATGAAAGCCTCGTAGAACCGAAGAAGATGTGTGTGCCTGATGAAGTTGCCATCACCTCTCGACATGCCGTGTGGTGGAAACAAGAGCGATGGTCGCGTTTGTCAGAGGCGGCCGTTGGCAGCTTGCAGTAATACTGCGGGTAAAAGCGCCCACCATTCCACCTATTTCCGACTGGGTGTGAAGCTCACTGGCAGATATGAGACTTTGGCGCCATGTGGAACGTCGATTGTGATACTGAGGCCGTGCTGCGGTCTGTATCAGTGATAGGGCAAATCCGAGCAAATTGTCTTTGCAATTCGAAGTTTTCTAATATGGAAGTGGAGTACTGACGGCAGTAGATTACGCCTCCTTCGCCCACATGCAAATGGTACGATAGTGCTGTCTTCTTTTCGGATTTGTCTGCATGGTCCATTGACATGGGTCAGAGTTGTCTGCGGGCTGGTCTCGACAGCGGCGCCATCTGTCCGTCCATGCCCAGGAGGAGAAGGTTAGAACCCTGAAAACGTGAACAGAACCCCGTTCCTTCACGGAGGCAATCTCGCACCAATCCGCTCACAGAATTTCGACATTCTCTCTTCTATTGTTTAGGATTTCACATCCCTGGAATTTCTGGGTTTGAGGGAGATGTTGCGGCTGGCGGTGAGTGTCGCCGATTTGGTGATCAAAGCAGAGCAAGAAACTTATTATAACACTGTGCGCGCTCAGACATGCGCGAAAATGGCACCCTGGCGACGAAATGCAATGCTGATTGAAACCCTACCAGCCATCTTGATTCAACTCAAGAACGTCAGGAATGCGGCGACCGAAGCATGTTACGGGATGAGAAATCTCTGCAACCTGTCAGAGTTTTCGATATCGGCCGGACAGCAACAGATTCCAAGGCTGCTGGTGCTTCTGAAATGTTATCATCGACTGGACCAGCTACGATAAGCACCGGGCTATACGGGGATTGACCCATCCTGCTGGCTGGAAGAGCGCAATTTTGGTATTGCACGCCCTGATCATCATCCACGCATTGGTATTAAGGGTTGTTCTGGGGGGGTCCGAGCAATTTCCGTGTTGGATTGGCTGATGAGGCAAGGGAGAAATGAATCAAAGGAATGAGGCGCGGGATTAAAGGAATGACATAAAGGGAAAGCTGTGTACACAGTAAGAATATTTACTTCTGACTCGGCATCTTGGCTCACACGCACCGACAAGGACGGCCCATCTAGGCACATCAGCAATCCGGTGTGGATGGTTCACCCACACACGAGTCGACCCGAGTTTGCAGCGCCGTGTCCGCAATCCCCGTCGAATCGCCCTTTAAAATGGGGGGTTATCTTCACCTCACCCTGACATCCCTTTCGCCCCCAGATCATCCCCATATAAAACTCTGGGGGAGTCCAATCGACATTCCTGTCTGGGATTCTCGTTATCTTCTCACCACCCTCTGATATCTTTCCATAACTTTTCTGCTCTACTATGGCGACCAGTTCGTCGGCTGCAGCGCAGTCATCGGCAATTGCTTCGGCCTCGGAGTGGCGGCTTCTCAGCGATAAATCATATTCCCGGCCGCACCCATCCCGCTCCGAAACGGTAGGAGATACCCGTATTGGTCAGTTCGTGTTCCTTATCAGACTATAAACAGGCACCAGCACTCTTAACCTCTTCTCCCAAATCGCGCCAGCCGCGTCAACCATCCCCACTACGAATACGTACCCGCTCTGCTCCTCCTCCATCTGCGCCCTCACCGCGTACCCCCCCGTCGGACAAGCTTGTTCGGCCAATGATTGCCTACCTGCCCTCAACGTTCCCTGCCCAATCTCTCGACGCAGCAATGTTCCACGACATGGGTACTCCGTATAAGACGAAGGCGCCGCATCGTTCGAGCCCGCTCTCTAAGGGCGTGTACACGATCTACGAGGCCCCAATCACCCCACCGGAATCCCCCGAGCCCAGCATTGCCGACGCGCTCAGGCAGGAGGCTGAGGAACGTGCAATGACCAAGGGCAAGGGCCCGGCCCTCGCTTCGGCTCCGAGAAAACATAAATTGTTCGGCCGGGCAACATCTGCCGTCTCCCTTCCGACTCCCACGCCCACGTGCCCGCCTAGAACGGACATCGTCAAGTCAGCAAGCGCGCCTCCGTCTATTCACCGTAGGATGTCATCCGCAACCCTCGCGATTACGGTTACTTCCTCGCACCCAGCGGCACCGCGAAAAGAGGCGACCTGGATGACAGAAGTCGCTGCACCAACCTTTTCGCGCTACCAGATGACCCCGGGCATTGTCCTTCCCGTACCCGCAACGCGCGATCGCCGTGTGTCGATGTATCAAAATCCTAACGGCGCACTCTCTGCGAAGATATTCAAAGCCGAAGAGGGGCAGCGAGACCACAAGCCTAAAGCCCACGTGCACGTCACCTTCGTCGCTGGACTCAAGCCCGTTGGATCCCTCGCTTCCCATTTGTCCAACTTGCCCAACCTAAGCCTCCCAAATTTGCCAATAAAGAAACGCACGAGCATCTTCTTTGGATCTAAACCCACCAAACAAACTGTCGTCGCTGCTGGCTAAGGACTTTAAACGGACACTTCGCTATTTTTCTACTCTACTTCTTATAGTTTTACTCCATTTCTGACGAGACGACACCGTTCTGGCAAGGCTTGAACACTGTATTATCACCCCACTTCACGATTACCTGGACACTGTAGCTTTTCCCGTTATGTCACGACAAGGACTGCTGCCTTTATTACTCGTCCTGCTATTCGTTATTCATTATTCCTTAGACCACGTTTCTTGTCATTGGGCTTTATCAAAGCGCATAAATATTCTTTTTAGGGTTGGCGTTCGTTTATACAGTAATCTAGAAAAGCTTATGCATGACGTAGCTCACGTCGAGGCCGGAATCGCAAATTGTGTACTGCGTAAGCTTTGCTCAGGCAATGCTTAGCAAACCACCGAAGTATGACAAAATTGAGTTCTGGGCTGACTCGGCACATTTCCGCCGCTCCTTTACCGGGCCCGCTCGATTCGGGGAAAATGGTCAACGGCGTAATTCTGTGACGGAAGCGCCTTAGTATCTGTATGCAGAACGTGATATTTCCTCTCCTTCCCGGTGATTTCACACGCAGGAATGAGGTACAATTCATTCTAATCAACAGCGATACAATCCCTGAGTCAGTTCAGTCATCCCCATCATCACTTTCATCACCTTCTGGGGATAATCGGCGGGCTGTGGAGGCGGAATGAGCTACACGTTCGTCCTCCCGGTCCTCGTCCTCTTCCTGGTCCTGGCCACGTTCTTCGTCTTCATCTTCGTCTTCGGAGGAGTCCTCCTGAACCGGCAGTGGCGCAGCTTGCTTTTGCTTCGCCCATGCATGTGCCATCTGCAGGAACTTGAAGGAAGCAGGATGAGCCTCTCTCTCGTCATCGGCGAACACCATGTCCCAATCTGGATGAACCGTTTCAGTGGAAGCGATTTCGGCGAACTGACAGAGCACGTACATTCTTCTTGTGTCCCAGACTCGTCCACCTTCCGCCACCGCTTAGTGACTTGTGGGAACATGTTCTGCACTTTCTCTTGCTGCTCTTCAGTTCCATGACCTGCTTCGAAAGACTTCCAGGCTTCGAGGAGGACGACGCGCTGTAGATGCGATGAGCATCATTAGAGATCAAGAACAGGCCATCGCAACGTACCTCTTCCTTGAGCCCCTTGTCTTTCAAGGCCTTGTATCCTCGCTCAAAGACAGCCCTCGCCCTCTCGGGGTCCGCATGTCCCTCCTCACTTTCCACATTCTCCATCGTGGCCGCCTCGAAGAGAGCGTACGCCACCCACACCTTCACATGCGCCGTCTTCTCCAGCAGACGCTCATACAGCGCCCGTGTACGATCCCGCTCTCCCTCTTCGAACTCGAAATCGATGTACGCTTTCCATAGAACTTCGGGCATGTTAAGTGCCGGCTGGGAGGCGGCCAGCTCGAAGATTGACCTCGTGCGGTCGTAGTCGCCCAATGTGCTCTCTAGTTCTGCGAACTTGATCCAAGCGGCGCAGTTTGAGGGATCGAACTAGACCCGAGTCAGCAAACGTGTATATGAAGACAAGCAACCTATGACATACTTCTAGATACTTCTCATACAGCGTCCGTACTCGGTCAAACTCCCTCAACTCCAGTTCCAGTTGTATGTAACCCTTGAATAATGCCTCCTTCGGGCACATACCAATGGCCGCCCCAAGCGTCTTCCGTGCCGTCGTCAGGTCGAGCTGGCGGATCTCAAACCGAGCATACTGGATCCATAGCTTCGCGAACGTAAATTGCTTGTGTGGTACCAATTGTAACGCCGTTTTGTATATTTGCCGTGCTCGCACAACGTCCTGAATAAATATTCAAGTCATGCACGCAGCGAGGGTAACAGTCGACCATACCTTCGTTTCTATCTCCTCAAATAGCGCATAGCCCAACCACAAGAAGATATATCTCCTCCAGTGTCGCTTCTCCCCGCCCGGTGGCACCTGAGCAACCGCCCTCTCGTACATGTCCCTCACCTTTTCCGGCGAGTAACTCGGGTCTTCCTCGACTTCTGCCCTGTATGCATCCTCCTCCAGGCGCGCGTAGTCGAACCAAGTGTCGTAGTTTTTTGAATCGGCTGCAACCTCGTCTTCGTATTGTATTCGTCGCTTGCCGAGTACAGTGGATTCCACACCCGCACGATCACCGTGCTGCTTCTCGAACCGAGTGTATGCAGTGTACAGACTCTGAGACTTCGATCTCGGCAAGCGGGAAAGGGCGAACGTGTAGATAACCCTTGCGCGCTCATACTCCTTCTGTCGCGTCTCCATTCTCGCAAACGCGGCAAACACAGCCTGGGCCTTCTCGACTTGCGCCTCGTCGTCTCCAAAGAACTCCAGCGCGGTCTGGAATACCTCGCGCGCTTTGTCGATTTTCCCTCTGTCTTCCTCAAACTTGCCCCATTTGACCCACACTCGTGGCTCTGGACGCACAGCAATCCATCGCTCGTAGATCGCGCTTCCCCGGTCGAGCTCCTCGTATCGTTCCTCAAACTTGATGTACGCCTGCCAGGCCTTGTCGTCTGGCTCCCACTTCATCCATCGCTCGAATACTTGCCGTGCCCCAGGAATGTTTTGCAGTAACTCTTCCAGGTACACGTACTTGTACCATAGCTGATCGATTCGCGGAAGGAGAGTAACAGCTCGGTCGAACAGATTTCGAGCGTGTTGGACATTGCGCGCTTTCAGCTCTATTTCGGTGTATCGTAGCCAAAGGTTGATGTCTGTAGGCTCGACATCGAGAGCACGTTCGAATACCGATCTTGACCGGGCGAACTCATTCTGACTTGCTTCCCATGTCGCGTATTGTACCCATTCTTTCATCTACAACGGTATCAGACCCAATTTCGAGCACAGCGAGGAGAGAACGTACACTACTCCGATTCCTCCGTATCCGGTCCTCGAACTCTTTCCTCTTCCTCCCTTGGTACTCATGCAGCTCCTCATAGTCTTCTACCCTCTGTTTAGGTGCGCGAAATGCGGTCTCTTGACGCTCTTGAGCTTCTCGTAGCAGCTGCTCTGCGGTGATCTGTGAGAGATGATGAGTCTTGGTCGTGTGCCTTGCGGATGAGTCGACATACTTGGATCGCCGCGGGCGCCCGGTTCTTAACGCGAGGCGCTCTTGATTCTTGCGCGCTCATTGTGAGTATATTGATACTCTTTTAAAAGGATGATGGCGGGACTGTCACTCAAGCTATTGCTTGGTTTTCGAAGCGCTAGTCAGTGGCGTCGGACAAGTTGTGTGTTGTTCTCAACTCGGAGTAGATTGCTTCCGCCGGAGTTTCCTGGACCTCTTACTGTTATTCATTGTGTGTAGGTGTTTTCTTTAATTCAGTGAACAAATTTGGACTGAATGCAACGTGAAAGCAAGAATTGAGAATACTGAATGTTTTGACGATATTAAGATAGAATTACACTCTCATGCCCTAGCTAGTTATGAACAAAATCCGCGATAAATTGCAAAAGTGCTACGATCCCTAGGAGTGGTGGTGATACGTTCCCCTGACCTCAGCGACATTCACACTCGTAGCCAGGCCCTTCTCCTGCTCTTCTTCCATCACCTTCTCCACCACATCGTCGTTCAGGCTCTCGTCGACGTTCGCCTCCAACGTGTCCTCGACGATGTCGCGCTCGCGCTCCTCCTTGAACTCATGCGCCAGCTTCTCCCAAGGCATGTCAGGGTCGACATTGCTAAGTGGGCGGATCTTGCACAGGAGCACATAGAGGGCACCCGCAACTATGGAGGAGATGTACCAGCCAAAGTCGTCGAGGTACGTCGCGCCAATGGGCACGGGGATGCCGAATGTGCCGACAAACCCAACGAAGGGGATGATCATCCCGCTGATGTAGGCAATGACGGCGTTGAGGTTAAACCCGTGGAAGTACATGTAGGTCGATCCGGGCTTGCTCGTGTACGCATCCCAAATCCGGATGTTGCCACGTCGTACGACCCAATAATCCATGATCATGATCGACGCTGTCGGGCCCATGAAGATCCCATATCCGCCGAGGAAAGCGAGGAAGCCGTTAGCAGAAGCGAGGATCTTCCATGGCATCAGGGCAAGGGAGATGATGCAGCAGAACCACATTCCACGGGTGAGGTTGAACCATGTGGGGAAGAGGGCCGTCGCGTCGGAGGCGAAGGGGAGAAGGTTGGCACCGAGGATCGCGCCGAACAAGAAAAGTGCAGCGCAGAAAGACTCGAGGAAAACGAAGAAACGGATACCGCCGCTCCACTGGTGCTCGAGGATGGCGTCCATCACGTCCCACTGGTTCCAGAGTGTAACACCCCATGCCTGTTGCAGTGCGGAAGTGCCGAAAATACCTATGATACCGCCAAGCGCAGCAGGGATCGGTACGAAGAGGATATGCGTCCACATGGTGGCTTTGGGTGATGTTGCGTAACGGGAAAAGTCGGGCATGTTCGCGATGAACGTAGACTGATGCAAAGTCAGGAGAATGCCATAACGGGGTAGAGCGAAGCTGCACTCACCCAGTTGCCCATGGCAGAGTTGACATTGGAGACAAACAGCCAGCCAAGCGCACCTCCCTTGGACAAGGTTACACCCGCCAGCGCCGCATCACTCGCAAGCTTGCCCTTGCTCTGGACCAAGCAGTAAATCAGCAGGCCAATGACACCGGGGCCAAGCGTCCACGCTTTGAAGTTGTATAACCACTTGAGCTGGTACGGCCGGAGGGAGCAGAAGGGCAGCTCGATCGCCCAGAAGATCAGGAAGCCGAGGAAACGCTGCACGGAGGTCCCCACGCTGTCGGGGAACTGCACAGGCAAGTTCAGCCAAGCGTCACCAACGATGCAGTGGATCATCGTGCTGACGTAGGCACCGCCTTGGTAGTCTGGAGATCAGCGCGTGAGCAAGGCTACCCGCTTGTACGTCTTTGAAGTGCTTACTGAGGACGGACACCCATAGCAGTGCACAGCATCCACGCGCGAGGACGGGCCAGTAATGGCCGTACATGCCAAAGCATGTCCTGAGCAGCACGGGGTAACCAACATGATAGTTGCTTGCAGCACGCGAGTTGAACGCCATGCACAACCCCGCAACCACACTAGCGATGATGACGACGAACATGGCCTCGTACCAAGTCAGACCGGCGCCGACAATGCTGCTGCCAAGGGTCCAGTTACCGAAGCCCATTCCGAGCCAGAAGAGGCAGAAGTTCCACCAGTGCCAGTTGCATTGGGCGATGCTCGAGGGACGGAGATCCTCGTTCGTCCAGCTATGTTTGCCGTCGGCGTTCCCTTCGGTATGGATGAACTCGTTGAACGCCTCTTTCGACGAGAAGGCGTGTCCGAGCCTAGAGAACCACCGGTTGACCGGAGGGATCGGGTTCAGATTCACCATATTTCTTGTCTATCCTGTTGTGGAAATGGGATACCTGGTGTTTGATGGACTTCCCAAGTTTGAAGGACCAGGAGGTGGTCGCCGGAAGAGAGGGATGGGCAAAGGAGAAGCCTACAGCTGAAGAAGCTCCACTCGTGCGTGCCTTATAGCGCTCCCAGGGCAAGGGTCAATGACGCCCCGCGCATAGGCAGGTGTAATCCAGGGCGTATCATCTGGAGTAACGCGTACTGAATCAAACTCCACACACAATGTGTGAGTTGGAGTTATCTCCAAGGGTACCGAGTCAGGCGCCAGGGAGGAATGCACAGCAGCAAGATACAGGATCAAGAGGTCGATCATGATAAGCCGCCGCCGCGCCTAACCCAGAGGACCGCTCGAAAGCCGCCTCCACAAAATGCGCCAGCCATGCAATCAATTGGACGCGTGTCCAAGAAGGGAAGGAGTGAAAGCAGAAGCAAACAATTTCAACTGAGCTGACTGACCTGGGGCAACTTCTTCTCGGCGCGCACTGCTTCCGCAATAGGTAAGCAGACGTAAGGGGCTTCGAAATGCCCCCGGAACGTTGAGTTCAGAGCATGATCAGGAGCCGGTAGCTGAGTGGACAGGATGTTGCCCTATACAATAAGGGCGTCTGTAGCTTGCGTTGCAAAGCCGTTGTGGTGACCCGAAGGCCGAGTCGCGCGGGTCACGATGCCACGAGGGGTTCATTTCGCTTAGCGGAAACTGAGCAAGAAATGAAGATTAGAGTTGACATGGACCATTTGTTTGAAGTACGTCCGCCGCCCGAGGGAAATCCTGAAAGCAGGGATTCCAGAGGCCGGTATCCCGTTCGATGCGGTTGAGAGAGACGGAGGGAGGAAGGGGAACCCTGCCGCGCGCAGGAGCGGAAGATAAGATAGGGCCGGCCTTGTTCGGCCCGGGATCATTTACCTCCGCCCGGAGAGTCAGAGACGGGCGCTACCGTTGATCCGTCCAGCTCCCGAACAACAGGATTTTGGCCGTATTCCTCTCTTGTTCACTTTCCCCGCATTTCTACCTACGATCTCGAACTCGGACTCTGGGCGCTTCTTTCTTTTATTCTTTGTACGGACTGGTGCACACGACTTGCACACCACACAAGTGTCGTGTCAGTGCCTCGTGGCTGTTGCGACTGTGACCGAGCATCAGTCAGCTGGATAATACCCCTCTTGGCTTGTCTTCTTCTTCTGGCTCAACCCCTCGACCTGGTTCCTACCTTACACACGGATTAACACCCTCAGGGTAGAAGCTCCAACAAGCCCAAAGTACACGAGGACAACGACATCATCACGAACAACAATGGGAGACGCTCAACCACGCACCGTGCACATCCTCATCACCGGCTTCGGGCCATTCACCGTCCGCCGAGGACAGGATATCGACAATTCCAATTCGGTGCCCGTGAACCCCTCTTCCGAGCTCATCCGTTTTCTACCCGACACACTCGCCCTCCCGTCGGGGACGATGATCCAGCTGACCCGCGTGCCCGACCTGCACGTCTCCTACGAAGGGCTGAAGAAAGACGTTGAGCGCTTGTATGCCGAACGCGGGTGGGACGCCGTAATCCACTGCGGTGCCGCTTCTCGCCGTCCGCAGATTTGCGTTGAACTCCTCGCCCGACGCTTTGCCTACCAGCTCCCCGACACGGATGGCAACTTCGCCAGTGCGCAAGAGGTGTATCCCGCTGCTGAGGATACGAAGGAACGATACGACACTTTGTTCGATGGGAGCGCACTCGTGGCGCAGCTTGAAGCCCAAGGGTGGAAAGGCCGTGTACGCACCTCGGACAACGCCGGGTTGTACCTGTGCGAATGGACGTACTACATCGGGCTGAGGCAGGCGGCGCTCAAGGGAGGGCACACGAAGGTGCTGTTTCTGCATGTACCTGTCGAGGGCGGAGAGCTGGAGTGGACGCATGAGGGCATGGCAAGCTGTGTCGAGGCAGTCGTGAAGTGGTGCGCGGGGCAGGTATAATGGGAAGAATGAGTTGCTTCACGGTTTCCCCGGACTCTGCCCGAAGGCACGTCCATCTTTCATATCGATCATATTGGATTGGAATGTATCACTATTGTAGAAACACATGCAATAGAATTAACCGCCTCTCTTTCGATCTGGCCGTTTGATACTCTTATTGAATGCTCAAGTCGGAGTGCACAGCTTGCATTGTATAACAATGGTTCTTGTACGCCTTATTCATGCTGTGTAAACATTGTATGGCATTAGACGCATTCTCGGGCAACGTTGATGACCTCTAGTGAAGCGGCTTCCCTTTCACTTGTGCGCTTCTTGCTTATGTCCTAAGGCATGATATTTTCCTGTGCTCCGTGGGAAGTACCGTGGATGCTGTTCCCAGCAGTGTGACTACCCAAGGGTATTGTGGCTCGATCACCCTTCAACAGATCGAGTATCCTTTCCCATGATGTCCTCCTGAAGTATATCCTAATACAATCAAAATCAATGACTAGCTACCATTTCCACCAGAGTAAGGTGCTGTACATTATTTCCCCAACCCTGTGGCAAGTCAGCAGGTTGATGATTCAGCATGAGTGGTAAATGGGTGGCTCAGCAACTGGTCTCCATAACATCAATGTGCTGCTGCATCAAGTCATCTCATCCCAATAATGGGAATCACTCCCCATCTGTGGAGTGGGTCATAATACATCACCAAGATTCACTGCAAATTGCAGGGTCCTTGGATACCACAGGATGGGTAGTGGGGGTCATGTGTACTGTAAGGGTCCATATACAACCCCATACTCTCCTTTTTAGGTAGGATTGCCTTGCAGAGGCGATCATGATCATCCATTGGACTGACATGTAGCAAGTGGCTGTAGGCCACCCTTCTCTCTATCCCTTTTACTACATGCATGTATTACCACTAGCTAGTAATACATTTGTCCCATGTACATATTGAGGGCATAAGGGCACCTTAAGCCCTTTCGCTTTTTTACACATCTCCAACAAGTGGAGTTCATAAAGGATTAGAGTGAAAAGTGCTCTATGTCAGATCCTAGTCTCCATAATATGGAGACCAGCTGAAAAATGGCAGGATGCCCTCCGCCCAGTAGAAAGACCAAGGTTGGTCCTAAACACAGCTCAGGACCTGGAGTTGTGGATACTCCCATAACTGTACCAGGATCTTCGAGTTTTTTTGAACTCAAAAATAGTTCAGAATGGGTTTCTGGGTTAGGTCTTGTGGTGTCCTCTGCACAATGTCTTGTATGGCCACTGCCATTGTCCTAAGGCAGTTACCAGCACAGGAAGTTCCAGGGGCTTGTTGTTTCATTGCTCCTAGGGCAAAATGGGTGGCCAGGGGTGGTAACAGGCAGTGTCCTGACAATCCTCTGATGGTTGCTGCGCAACAGGTGAGTACAAGCAGCAATTTCTTGTCAATGGGTGGAAAGGATGGGATCAGTGGCAAGGCCATTTTGCTTGTTGAACAGATGCTGGAGACTGTGGTCCACTATCTTTTGCATGGCCTGTTCCAGTACATTGCCAGCAAACATGCATTCATCCTCAAGCAGAAGGGGCACCATGTGGTTCTGAGTGGCAAGCAGGAGGGATTCAATCTTTGGAGCACAGAGAGTTTCAATGTTCTCAGGGAAGTGGCTGATTTTGCCTAATTGCAGATGAGTACAGTGCATCCACATGACACTAATGCTTATGAATTTGCTCCCAAGTGTCCTGGAAATCTGCAGGAACAATCAGTCTTCTTTCCTCTCCAGGTGGGAGGTCTGGGAAAGGGTGCTTTTCATGCATGAAGAACTTTTGGAGTGCTGCAGCTGTGCCTTCATCTATGGGGAGCTGATAAGTCATGAATGCCTTGTGCAGCTCATACCAATCCAGACTGGTCATGAGTGTGGGAAAGCATGCTTGTGATGTGGCCTGGGCTTCCAAAACCTTGACAATGACAGGTTCTATGCACAAGGCCTGCCCTGCAGGGGGCCCAATCCAGCTTGGATCCCTGAACCACATTGATGCCTGAATGACATCAAAGTATTTATGGAGCAGGGGGTTTGCTGGAGGGGCCGGCTCCTGGAATGCTCCATCTTGCGCATGGAGGAACTACTGAGTCCCCAGCAACACATGAGCCCACAAGGAGTCCAAATTGATTGGGCACTTCACACCATTCCTGACTGCATCCATCTTCATGATGTAAACATAGCCAAGGATGTGATGCATCTCATTCATAGTGGCAACCAGGTGGAGGGGACAAAGCTCAGCCACAAACTAAACCTGTTTGAGAGCCAGGCAAACAAGTACAGATGCATGCTTACATAGCAGATGTACTCATCATGCAAGTCCTGGTTTTTGTCCCAGGTAATGTGCATGTTAGCAAGGAGCATGGCAAATGTGGGGGGCTGTCCTCCTTCAGCTTGCATACCAGTGCCTTTCAATACATGCTTGTAATGGGGCAGGACCCACCATGCCACCTGAGATTGCAAATCAACATCCAAAAACCAATGTGAGTTTTAGATAGAATGCCTCTTTGAAGACATGCTCATACTCATTGATGAGCCTCACAATTGTCAGGACAATGTGTGGGGTGAGGATAATGGCAGTGGGGTATTCATCAAAGAACATTTGGACCTTGGCCACCCACAGCTTGCCGTACATATAGTGATCATATGGTAAAACCAGAGCAGTCTCCACGGGGTTGACAGGGTTGTAAATCTCATTCAGTGCTTTGATCAACATAACAGAATAAGGTATCAAGTAAGCCTCATTCACATTATGTTGAGGGTTATCAGCCCATGCCTTGAATTTGTCAAACCACTGGAGCAAAATGTCTGAGCAGATCTTCATGAAGCACCAATCCATGATGGCATCATACTCAATGGTGGTGGCATGTTCACCAAAGCAGTATGTGGAATGTATATGGAAATACTTCATCTGCCAAAACATGTACATGTAAAAGATCTGGGAAGAGAGTCAGTATCTGGTGCATGCAAGAGGGAGTGCACACATGTCACAGCCCTCTGAGTTCCACATATCCTTGAGCATGTTGAAGCTGCGCAGTTGTTCCCAGGCTGGGAACTCCAACACCCCACTGATAACAGCACTGAAGATATCATTGTTGAACACCCAAATGGCCCCAGGATATTTGCAATGTTGCAGCAATGAGCATTTTGTTCTCATTGTGGGTGTAGCCTGCAGTGTTGTGGATGTCCAGCATGGTGAACCAGAGCTCAGAGGCAGTAGGTGGGCACTGATAGGCAGTCAAGTTGGAAGCCAGGGAATTGAGCAGCAGGCAATTGTCTGGGTGCATGATGTCCTCTAAGGTATTATCAGTGCAAGTCCGAGGCCCCAGTACCCAATGTACACACCAGTGAAAAAGATCTGCACATACCACCAGGGACGCTCATTGTGCAGCTCCTTGCAATGCACATGATAATACTTCTGGCATGCTTGGATTTGTAACATGCCAGTGACCATGGTTACTTGGGAGTTGAGCCTGAACTGAGCATATTTCTTGAGGCTCACTTCTGAGTTGCTGGCAAGGACATTGCAGGCAATGTCATTCCAGTTGATAATGTTGTTCCTGGAGGTTTGCAGGACAATGGGGAACTTGTGATGTCGCATCCTGATTGTATGGAATGCAGCTGCTAGGTTGTTGAGGGTGCTCTTGGTGTTGCCAGCACTTTGAGCCATAGGATGTTCAGACAAAAAGTCTTCTTCATCACCCACTGGGAGTATGACACAAACCATTGTCTTCAGCAAGTGCATTTTGAGCTCATCACTCTGTTCCAGCCTGTCCCAACTCTTGAGGGTGATGTTCTCAGGTGAGTTCTACACAAAGGGCAAGATGAGGACTTCATTCATATATGTGGATATGATAAACTCACCCAATCATCATCCTCCCCAAGGCCATCATCTTCATCAAAACAGTCTTCTCTATCATCAGGAATAGCAAGGCCTGGATCATCCTCCACTGGTGGGGCAGCACCATGTCCACATGCACGCCCACTTGCACAACTGTGAGGGCAACCATGTGGAGGCATGGTTACTTATTGATTGGTTGGAGCTGGACAGCAAAGATTGCTTGACAAGATGGTGGTTGGACTTTGAGATGAGGAACAGGTAGGGAGGGTAATTGATGAGGTGGTGGTGATTGAGGAACACATTGTAAGAGGCCAGCAGACACGAGGCAACCGCACCCAAACAAACACATGAAAGCACTTGGAAATTCTGAAAAACACTCACTTATGTAACAACTGACTGTGCATACATGAAGGTCAACAACAAAGGTATCTGACCACCTGCCCATTCCATTCCCTCATTGCTCCCCACATGTCCCAAGTGACAATGTGAGTGCATATACTGACATGAGGAATTAACAAAGGGATTCCTACCCCAATTCCTGAACCAGAAGTCACTTGATGTTGATAGAGCAGTTAAGCATGGGGATGAGCATGCTCACCATTGACGTGTCAGGTTCATCCTTGTGCCAGAGGGCCACTAGCCAATGTCAGCATATGCCACAAGTCACAGGAGGGAGAAGAGGGGATGCACCCTCTGGAATCGCTGTGGCATGCCACCATGGTGACTTGTACTTGTCCTTGTTGCATTCGGCAACAATCTGAGTGTATTCGCTTATGGCTGCATTGGGTGGGTTTTTGGGGAGGAGGGAAAAGACATAGCCATCATCCTCGAGGGTGCTGAATTCATCTGACATAGATTTGGTGGTGGCAAGGGTTTCATCAACAAGTGTGCCTTTGAAAATGGGCTGAGAGGTAGAGAGGGAGGAGGCTTGAGACAACATGGAAACGTGATGTGTTTGCAAGGAAGATGGTGAGAATGAAGACACTGACAAGTGTGATAGTGATGGTATGGAGGGAAGAGATGGCTTGCCTCTGATGACATGGCATGACCATAATACTCCCGGACCCATCATGTGATTGTTGTCTACATCACATGAACATTGTAGAAAAAGGAATGTTCACCAGCCCTTACTGCTTTTACTTTGTGTTGCATCCATCCAGGGATAAATTCTGACATTGATTTTACATACAGCCATAATCCTAGTAATACCCACATTTTTGATACCAGGCTTGTGCATGCTCTGGCAGAATGGCCCAAATCAACTCATGAAGTACCTTGTACACATCAAAATTGTCCCAATGGCTCATTGCACTCCTCAGAAGAAAATTGTTGCTTTTGATTGTGCCCTTCAGTGCTGAGAAGAGAAGTTCAATCAGATTATAGTCAGGGGAGTATGTTGGCAGGTACTCCAGATGCATTTCTCTAGCTCAAGGTCAGAAAGTCATGTAGGCAGCACTGAGCAAACTCACCAAGCTTTGACCATCTCCCAAATAAGCTCTGATTGATGGATGCAACAGTTGTCCATCACAAGCACAGAATTCTTTCCAGGATATGGGTTCATGTTCTTGAGCAACCCATTGACAAACTCAGCAAACATGATAGCATCAAAGGATCCCCTGACAATTTTAAGCCAGATAGTTCCCTCAATGGACAAGGCCAGGAGGACAGAGTATCTTATATGTATTAGTGTATTGTTGGGAATTCAACAGGGTGTTTGCATTCCTTCTACCCCTCACAAAAAATGACAGTTTCCTCATGTGTGTTCCTCGAAGAGCCCAGGCTTTGTCACAAAATGTTGACCTCTGATCATGTCAGGGCACCAGCTCATTGCTTGGTCAAGAGACATGACTAAGCCTTTATGACAT